CAGAGATGGAACAATGAAGAGGGTTCTGGAATGTAGCCAGCGGACCTCATTCTGCAGGACCCGTGCCCTTGCAGCAGCCTCTTGCAGTGTGTAGATAGGTTATATATCCTGATGTCTGTCACTTTAAACAGGTTACTTGTTTCTCAGCTCCATTTAAATTGGTGACGAATGTGGCTTGAGAGAGCTTAATAGTCTATTTTGGGAAGGTAGAAGGGAAGAGGGTCCATATTCATTCTTTGACATGAAATGAATGAATCAGGAAGACTGTATTTACTTCTACTTACTATTTTAAATACATGTTCAGTGAAATAAACTGTAAAATAGCCTGTTTTCTGTATTATATGTACATTTGATTTTTTTAATAGCCTTTCCAAAGAAATGAGGGCATGATTATTGTACAGTACTGTGACTGATTTAATTGGATGTACAGAGCAGGCTGCATTCTTAAGGATAAAAATATTTGGTGGCACTCGTTCCTGTGTTTTGAATCTTTTCTTTCTGAAACACTCAAACATCTTACAAAGTGCTGATCTTACAAAGTGCTGATCTTACAAAGTGCTGAGTAGGTGATAGTGATCCAACTTGTTGGCTAAATGAATATTTGTTTAAAATCTGTACAGTTTCAAGTGTTTACTTATACAAAACATGTATATACTTTCAAATAATTTAAAATGCTTTATATTATTTGGCTAGAAATTGCTGTTTTTAATAAATGTGAATTTTTTAAAAAATAAAGATTTTTGCTTCCTACTTTGTCCTCCACATGTCTGTTGTGTGTATGGATTCTTTTTAAAAATAATTTTTTAATTGAAATTTTTATTGAGCTAGCTTGTGATTCACATGCGGTTGTAAGAATACAGGGAGACCCTCTGTACCTTTCCCCTGATTTCTCCCAGGGGTAACATCTTGCGAAAGTAGAATACATTATCATAAGCAGGATATGGACATTGTTACACTCCACCAGTCTGTTCACATTTCCCCGTTTTTACTTGTACTGTGTGGATTTTTTTGGTAAGATGATTATTGTGGGAAGACATTTTTGAAGCCTCTTTATGCTCCGTTAGTTGAAAGATAATTTTTCTTTGTTTGCAAAACTGCCAATTTCCCGAGTACTGTCAGCACACAGAGTTGTGTTGAAATTTAATGTTATGGAAGTAGCAATAAAAACGATTTTGTATTTTCACCCTGGCTTAACAATCCCATATCTTTAAATTCTCTTCTGCTATATATTACCTTGCAAGAAAGAATAGTCAACCTTCGTTTTTAAAAGGGGGCCGTTCAGTAGAGAAACCTCGGTGCGTTGGTGAGAGAATGTTGCTTCTCAGAAAGGAGGAACTTCATTGCTTCCTCTCTGGAGCACTTCTCTCCCCGTGGCCGCTCGTCCCCCAGCTTGTCCGCCCTCCGACGGCCCGTGGAGCCCCCACGCATCTGTGCGTCTGGCCTCGGCTCCTCACGGCTCACCCTCCGGGTCGGTCCGCGTCGGTCCGGGTCCGTGAGTGCACGCGCCAGGCTTTGTCACTGTCTCACTTGGGCAGGAAAGGGCTTTGTCACCGGGCGGGGACAGACCAGAGGCTGGAGAAGCAGAGGGATAAGCGCAGGAAGTATCACCGATGTAGATATTTCTTGAACGCAGAAGGAGTTGGTGTGGACTCTGCTGTGGCAGGTCCTGGACTGAGCGTCACCACAACCGCGTTCATCTCGGGCAGGCTCGGGAGGACGGTCTCTGCGCCAGTTACCAATTTACGGCCTCGTGGCTCCAAATCCACCTTTTTGGGCCCTCCTTGGAGACTTGAGCTGGACCCAGAGAACATTTCTCCTTTGCCAGCGGGTGCAAACTTAGGCTTTGTAGGGTGCTGGAGGTACACTGCACGGCACGGCGGGGGTGGGGGTAGGGGAAGGGGCCTCCTATTGCTGGTAGGAATCAGCTGTGAGGTGGTTGGCTTTCCCTTGTGAGAACGGTCCCGATTCTCTTTTTACTTCTACATGGCCACTGTGGCAGTGTGGGGGGCTCTGTAGTGAGTTCTCCTGCTATCCAAGGTAGGAAGTTGGTGGCTCCCCAGCACTCCAGTGAACCTCCCCCCGCCCCATCAGCGGGCCACGGTTCCATCCTGGGCCTTGGTGCTGGTGGGGGCTCTTCCAGGTTGTTCGTTCCCTCCTGGGTACTCCCAGCCCGCACCCTCACCCCCACTCTTCATTCCGTGACCCCTTCCCTCTCACCCAGGGGACTCTGCTGTGCTCCTTTCACAAAGCCACAGTTGCTTTGTTTTGCTATCGCTTGCTTCTCTGAGCCCCAGCCTAACCCCCCCAGGGGCACCTTGAGCACATGGCGGAAGCTCAGTGTGTATTTGTTGCATAGCCTAATTAGTTACCGAATTCATTAGTAATTTTGTGGGCACTGCAGGAGGCTCCATTTGCCTTGGGGCAGTCACCGATTGTTACTCATCAGTGAACCCTGGTGTGTAACTGAACAGGTTGGTATTCATAAACAGCCTCTTTCCAGGAGAAGCACCTTTTCCTGCCAAGTCATTGAAGATAGAATGGTGGTCAGTCAGAATTTGTCCCTTCAGGAAGGTGAGGCCCTGGGAAGGGCCCAGGATGGGAGGCAGAGGGTGTTACAGGTTGAATTACGCGTCCCCACCCCCCACATTCCTGTGTTGGTGTCCTAACCCCCAGGGCCTGGAAGTGTGACCTTATTTGGAAATCGGTGGTTGCAGATGTAATTAGTCAAGGTGAGGCCATACCCTCTCCAATGTGACTGGTGTCCATATAAAAAGGGGGCCTGTGACTCAAGAGACACACAGGGTGAAGGCCAGGCGAGGTCTGCCTCAAGCCCAGGACCCACCAGAAGTGGGCGGGGCCCGGAACACACGCTCCCCTCGCGGCATCTCGGACCTCCAGGCTCCGGAAGCCTGACAGTAAGTTTCTGCTGTGGACGGCACCCAGTGTGGGGCCTCCAGCAAACGTACGGAGTTGGGGGGGTGGGCGGGAATCTAGATCTGTGCAGTTCCTGGCCATCTGGTTGGCGGCTTTATTTCCTTCCCGAGCTGTGAGGTGATTGGCTTTCCCTTGTGAGAACAGTCCCTGATCCCTGTGTGATTCTGTCCAGTCTCTGGCGGCCCTGGCACAGAGCCGCGGTTCCCAGGGGACCTGGAACTCCAAGCCTCTATGTGAAATGCCTGGGCCTTTAAATGTCGGCAACACGATTTTCAAACGGGGCTGACCAAACAGAACACCTCTGCGCAGCCGCCTATTGACAAGCTCCGCGTGAGTGGAAGAACGATTTCAGGTTCATGCCAGGAGGACTCCCAGGGAGGGGAGCGGGCTGATGGTCATGAGAGCCCGCTCAGCAAGCTCGGAGCGCAGTGCTTTATTGACGCTACTTTAACCCCTAGTGTGTAACTCTGGGAGGAGAGGTCCAGGATGGCCCTCCTATGCCAGGGGAGGACACAGGGGCTCACCACGGTGCCCAAGTTCGCGCAGCGAGCACGCCGTGGTGCCAGGACCCCGAGCCAGGGCTGGCTGGTCCTTCAGTCCTGGAGGAGACGTGAGCGCTGGCTCTGAGCCAGCCACAAGCCTGGGGGGAACTTGTTGCTGAGACCAACTTGGAAGCTTCTGCTTCTCGTGGCGGGTAAGAAAAAAGGGCTTCTAGGCACTCGGCACAAGTGCGGACCGAACAGGGCCCACTGAGACTCTGACGTGGGCTTGGGAGGGGGAGGCTGCTCTAGCGGTCGTCTGTGTCATTTAGGGCTCATTGCCTTGCGCCACAGGGACTGTTGTTCTACCTGAGGGTACCCTCGGCCAGCAAGGTGTGGCAAATAGTGGGCGTGACTGCGTCCGCCCCCCACTGCCCACCTCCACCTCCAGTGCTGCCTCAGCTGCTGGGCTGTCGTGGCTCGGGGCCATGATGACTTCGGTGAAGGTTGCTGGCAGGCCATGTGAGATCAGCAAGGGGGCAGGGCCACGAAGGGGGGGCTCCGGTGTCATTGTCATGGCAGGGAATGTCCAGTTGCCAGGCTGGCTGGGAGGAAGGGGTTTCCTATCCCGGCTTGGTTTAGGCTGCAGTGGAGGTCATCCCGGGAAGTGGCCGTGTCCCGGGATGTAGAAGAGGCACACTGTAGGGGGCTGCCCAGCTCCTGAGTCCCCCTTTTCTAGAAACTCCCGCCCATCCCTGTGCACGGGCATCAAGACATTACCCCACCCTCCCTACCACGTGAGGCTGGACCAAGAGTGGCCTCCTGATCAAGCCAGGCCAATCAGAGACCTCTGGTGGCTTTTGAGAGAGATCGGGAGGCAGAGCCCCATGAAGTGAGGTGCATAGACATTCAGGACAAGAAGACTGTCACAGAGATGAGAACGGAAGTCCTCTGGCTTCTGGGGGCTTCCCATGCTCTGATCCTTTTCTGAGACCCACTGCACCTTCCGTCCAGATGACTCATTTCCCATTTTGCTTTACCTACTTGAATTAGTGACTGTTACCAGTGAGCAGAAGTGTCCCAGCTAGTGGAGGGGGTTTGAATGTGTGTCCCTTCAGGCTCCCGACTGACTCCTGGGTTAGGGGACCTGCAGCAATCTGACGTTGGTTCGCTGTCTGGGTCTCCCTCTGCCTTGGCAGGGGTGGGAGAGGGGTGTTTGTGATGACGTTAGGGTTAGTGCGAACCTCTGGGGATATCTAGACCCATTTGACTGACAAGGAAACTGAGGCATAAAGCTACTTGCCCAAGGTCGCATAGCCAACAACGGGCAGAGGTACGCTTTGAGACCGTCTGTGTCCTGAGTCAACCCAAGTACAGGAGGGCTGCAAAAGGACTGCATTCAAGTGACCAGTGGGGCACGCAGGACAGGGGTTGACGGGTATTGCCCACAGAAGCAGCCTGCTCCTCATGCTGTCAGGTGAGGGTTTTTCTGTGCCCAGCCACAGATTCTTTTTTCAAACCAAGGAGCTGTGATAAGTTCCAAATGACAAATCAACTCTCAAGAGACATACATAGGGCTCTGGGGTTTTCCTTGGCACTCATGATAACTCTCCCGAGACAGTCCACGGTGGCTGGAGAAGGCCCTGGCACAATGTGGTGACTGCCCTACTATTGGAGGTAAGAGTTCTCCTTCCGCTCCAGGTTGTCGGTTGGCAAGATCCCGGCAGCCTCTATGAAGTTTTCCAAATCAGGGATGGTCAGGAAATTCAGGATTCTACTCATTTTCCCCAGGAGGACCTGCATCTTCCGAGCTGTTGAACCAAATTCTACCTCTAGGATGGCCTTCTGCTTCATTTCACTCAGCACCTCCTGGGTTATGAACTATGGGAATTCACAGAAGGCTAGGTGAGGAGAAATGCTGTCCAGACACCATGCTTTCCACCCCAGGATTAGGCCCCTTGGACCAGGACCAGGTCTCCCCTGGAAACTCACTCCGGGGCAAATCTGAGCTCCTAGCCTTGTCACCAGCAACGCTTCCCCCATTTGGCCCGGGCCTGTGCCCATACAGCTACAGAGACGCGGGCTGAGGCCACCCTCAAGCCTGACCCCACACCAGTGGGGGTTACCCCCTCCTGGGCCCTTGTGTGGCCTGCCTTGCAAAGGCTGTGTCTTTCTAGGGGTGTCTGGCTCCTCCCCATGAATTCGCACCATGGGAGCAGGGTTGGGGAGACTGGAGCTCTACCACAGCCAGGAAGCTGTCCAGTGTCTGCCTGTCAGTCCCACTTCCAGCTCGGCCTCCCCTGGAGTGTGTCTGGGTTTTGCTGGGATGAGGCACTGCCCCAGGGAAGCCATGTCTAGGCCGACTTCTGCCTTGGTTTGTAGCCTACAGAGGCTGAGCAAAGGGTCTCCTGGAGGGAGAAATAATGAAGGATCATACCAGAATGTTCTATTTCGGTGAGGTATCCAGCTTCTGAAATGCTTTCACCCAAGTATCTTATTTAAGCCTTACAACAAGGTGGTGTCCACTTTACAGACAATAATGGGTACAGAAAGTGCATGAGGTGGGCCTGGTATCGCAGGGGAAGTGGAGGGGCTAGTATGTTCTTCCTAGGGTGCCCTGGCTGCCCGGCCTCGGTGGACCTGCTGGCTAGTCAGTCACATGTGTGCTATTTGCTTCATTTGCCACCACCTCCCCACCCCCCCTTGCATTGGCCCAGCTCCTGGGGCTGCCAGGCCTCCTGGGGTTTTTGCCTGTACCAGCCCTCACCTGCCCTTCCTGGCCACTGGCTTCCTTTCCTGGCCCCCTCCATCGGTGGGACCCCACTGTCATCCAAAGGCCAGGGGCCCGGGTCCTCGTACCCTCTCTACCCCCAGCTGCTCCCTTAGCTCGTCACCACTGTGCAGGGGGTGACCAGCGGATGGTACCGTGTACGTTCATGCCTCCTCTCTACTGGGTTGGCTGCTCTGGGAAATCCGGGGTAGGTAGGTAAGGAGGTTGGGACGTGATTATTCGGGATCTAAAATGGCAGGCCTTGCCAGGCCAGGGGACCAGCTGTCCAGATCTGCTTGCAGCTTTCCCAGTTTGAGCACTCAGAGTCCTATGTCCTGGAAAACACCTCCGTCCTGGGCAAGCTAAACCTAGCACGTTCCCTCCTCTCCTTCCCAGAATTTCATATGGTGTAATTTTGCCTGAGTCTGCTGTTTGGTTGCTTCCTCCATCAACCTACTTCTCTGCTCACCTCCCAGGAAACATGTCTGTCTGTCTGTCATCTGTCGTCTGTCCTACTTTCAGAGACCTCGAATGCCTCTCTGGTGGGTCTGTAAACAGAGCCTTCCATGAATGTGAAAGAGGAGCCAGAGCAGGAGCAGGGTCTTGTGTGGGTCTCAGCGGGGGGCCAAGGACACCCTATTCCTCTTCTGAACTCTGGGCCTAGGGAAGGGTCTCAGGAGCCCACCTTCTTGCCCACTCACAGTCAGAACTCCCAGGTGCAGACTCCCCATTGGTAGGGGGTTGAAGAGAGGGTTTTTGCAGATGTAATTAAGCAAAGGATCTCAGGATGAGGTCATCCTGGACATAGGGTGGGCCCTAAATCCGCTGTCTGGTGTCCTTATAAGAGAAAGGAGGGGGACACTGGACACACGGAGGCACAGAGAAGAAGCTGTGTGAAGGTAGAAGGTCAGAGCGCCGCCGCCACCAGCCAACGGACGCCTAGGGCCCCTGGAAGCTGGGAGAGGCAAGGAAGGGTTCTCCCCAGAGCCCTTTGGAGGGAGTGTGGCCCTGCTGACACCTGGAGTTCAGATTTCTAGCCTCCAGAGCTGTGAGAGCTTCTGTTTTAAGCCAGCCAGGTTGCAGTCATTAGTCATGGCAGCCCTAGGACGTGAACACACCTTTGCTACTTTCTTGCCGGGCCCAGGCAGAGCCCCCCTGAACTTCCAGGTGCCCCTTTACTTGGAGATGAGTGTGTTGGGGGAGGAGAGGAGAGGACACCAAAGGCAGGCCTGGAGACACAGATTTCCCCCGGGTTTCTGTCCCTGCCTACTGACAGGGCTGATGTGAGCGTTGGGTGAGAAAACGTATGTTGACGTCTTTGCTTGTTTGGCCTGGCTTGCGGCTGGGCTCTTAGAGGCTGTTTCCTCAGCTCCACATCTCGAGGTGCTCAGGGTCTCGAGGTGCTCGGACGGTAAATGAATGCCTCTGTCAACCGTCAGGTCAACGAAGGTGGCCGTGTCTCTCTCTGGGTAGCAGTGATGCAGAACATGGCCCAGAGAGAGGCCCGTGGCATGGCCCAGTGGGCACCTGCCTGGCAGAGGGAGTTGAGACCTTACCTTGTACTTGGTGCCCAGGTTTAAGCAGATGTGCTTCTTTTGGTGGCTGAAGCAGAAAGCGATCTTATCCTGGCTCCTTATTTGTACCTTGATGTACCGGTTGATTTTCAAGGAGATGGACTGGAAAGGGGGCGCATGGACGTGGAGGCTCAGATCCCACCAGTTCCAGGCCTTCTGGTGTTTGCCTTTGGGGAAGTAGTAGCCCAGGTTTTGGCTCAGGCTCAACCTAGACCGAGAAAGGATCAGACAAGCACGGGGCTTGGCCTGTGTGCAAGGGGCAGAGCCTTCCCTGGGGTGAATGTGGGCCTGCCCCCGTCCCTGCCTCCTTCCCTTTCTCTTTCCTCCTGGCCTGGGTTCCCACCCCCGCTGACCTGCACAAACACCTGGGAAGCTTTTAAAGCACGTAGATCTCCGGGCCCCACACCAGGCCGACAGAAGGGGCATCTGGAAGGTGGGGGTCAGCCCTTCCCCAGTTGGAGCATCATTCTTCCCCTTGGTTTTTGATGGGTTGAGATTCAGGGGTAAGATGGGGTATCTCTTGTATACCTTATTTGAGAAATTTTTTTAAGTGCTTTATTTTAGGCTAAGTCCAATGTCGTAAAACTTTTGGCCCATAATTTTTTTTAAAGATTTATTTATTTGAGAGAGAGAGAGTGCGTGCGTGCAAGCAGGGGGAGGGGCAGAGGCAGAGGGAGAAGCAGACTCCCTGCTGAGCAGGAGCCTGATGTAGGGCTCGATCCCGGGACCCCGGGATTATGACCTGAGCCGAAGGCAGATGCGTAACTGACTGAGCCACCCAGGCGCCTCTTTCGCCTGTAATTTTATGTATGACTCTCGGTAAGTCCCTTATATCCTCTAAGTTCCTTTGTCAAGAAAATAAAAGTAGTTCCTAGATTTCCCTAAGGTCTCTTCTGGCCCTAAAAGTAAGTGTCATTATGGAGAAGAGGCCCCACAGAATGTAGCGATACTATTTGAGAGAATTGGCTGAGTTTCTTGCCTCCGCTTGCTACCTGGTGCTTCCTGCACCTTTCAGACATGTTTCTATACAAAAGGTCCTCAGGGCAGGGCAGATAGCTCTGAGAACAAAGTTGTCAAGGAGGAAATAGTGTTTTAAAAGCTCAAAGAAAAAAAAAATGAAAAAAAAATTAAAGAAAAAACAAAAAACACAGAAAAATAATAAAACAAAAATATTTAAGAAAATATTCTTAAGGGGTGCTTGGGTGGCACAGTTGGTTAAGTGCCTGACTCTTTGTTTCAGGTCGTGGGCTCAGGGTTGTGGGATCAAGCCCTGCTGCTTAAGACTTGTTCTTCCTCTGTCCCACCCAACCCTCCCCCACTACTCTCAAATAAACAAATCTTAAAAAAAAAAAGAAAGAAAGAAAGAAAGAAAATATTCTTAAAAACCAAGGCTGGCAGAGTCAAAATATTTTTTTTGAATTAAAAGCAAAAATCTGTTTTTGACAATCAAGAAGAAAGGAAGTATAAAGTTGATGCAAGATGGTAGGCATTTCCCACTCCATGACCACTTAGTAGGGAAGGGAAGGGGGAAATCTTGGAAAAAAAAAAAAAAGAAAGGAAAAGGAATACTTACCCCCAAAAAGATGGAGAAAGATTTTGAAGTGGCCAGATTACCTTGATTTGGTAAGATGAAGTTTTCCACCATGGCCAGAAATGGGAACTTAAGAACTAAGTTCAGCGATCACAAAATATTTAGAAGTTTGGTTTTTGTGCACAATACACGTGTCTCCAAAGCCCTGACCACACCCTGCTCTCTGAGGCACCTGGGACAGAGGGGCACTGGGTCTTTCTCAGGTAATTCTCAACTTGACTCTCAGCAAGTGTAGAGAACTTGGAGCCAGGAGAAATGGTCACCGTGAGTCTCTGATTGCTCTTTCACCCTTGGGGAAGCAATGGCGACAAGGACAGAGTGCCTTCCCTGAGGTCAGGGACCTGCCTTGCTGCCACCATGATACCCATCTCTCCATGTGCAACATGTGTGGGTCAGAGAAAGAAATTCACAAGTGAATGAGGGAGAGAGAGACCTAACCCAGTGAGGGAGGAGTGCTGTGCGGACTGGGGAATCAGCCCTTCACCACATTGCCTTTCCCTGGGGAAGGGTGTTTGGGACTCACAACCCAAACTTACCAGATTTCTCTGTTTTCATCATAGAAGGTGGCATGGCCAGAGTTGTTGATAAGGGCCTGGACACACCCTTCTTCACTGTCTTCCAGAATGATGTATGTGAACTCTCTCTGTTTTGTACTGAGGATGAGCATAGCCAGGTTTCCTGACGGGTAGCTGGAAGACAGTTAAGGCACACGCAGCTCCTTGGGGTCCCTGGGAAAGGCAGAGCCCTGCAGAGGATGCGGGCCTCAGGAAAACCCACACCCCAGCCCTGACCCACCCACTTTTGAGGTGCCCTATGTGTCAATATGTGTCAATGTGAGCGTCCCTGGGCTTCAGTGGATACTGTATCTGGCCTGATCCATCAGGAAAGAGGATTTGGAAGACAGTCTCACTGGGGTAGAGAGTTAATTTTACATCATGGTGATGCACCTGGGAAGAAAAGATGAGCTTATTATAAAGAGTGCACAGGGGCTGATTGTCCCAATTCAGAGTATGCTGTTGTCACTAGAGTGCTCGGGATGGGTTTACTCTCCGAACACCCACACTGCCACTCCACCCATCACTACCCCACCCATCACTACCCCACCCATCACTACCCCACCCATCACTACCACCACCTTGCTGAGGATTCTGGATAGGAAACCTCTCAGGGCCTGCTCAGTTTATTCATCTATGTGACCGGGAGCCAGAGAGGGATCACTCTGTGTGTGTGTGTGTGTGTGTGTGTGTGTGTGTGTGTGTGTACGTGTGCATGTATATTTTAAGCTGTCATTGTCATTTCAATCCTCTAATGGTCATGGGTTGTTTTTCTTTCCTTCTTCTTTAAAAGATTTTATTTATCTGAGAGAGAGGAGAGAGAACACGAGCGGGGGAGGGGCAAAGGGCCAAGCAGGCTCCCTGTTGAGGGGGGGACATGGCACTCGGTCCCAGGACCCTGGGATCATCCCTGAGCCAAAGTCAGACGCTTAACCAACTGAGCCACCCAGGTGCCCAGGTTGTTGGTTGTTTTAGTTTTCTAGGGTTGCTGTAACAAAGTAACACCAATGGAGCACTTCAAAACTACAGAAATTTATTTTCTCACAGAGGTGGGGGCCAGAAATCTGAAATCAAGGTGTTGGTAGGGTCAGTTCTTTCTGGAGGCTCCGAGGAAGAATTTCTTCCGCGCCTCTCTCCTGGGTTTTGGTGATGACCTGTGACCCTTGTTCCTTGGCCTGTCTGTTCATGGCTGCGGTGTCTACCCCCATCTTCATGTGCTGCCCTCCCTGGGTCTCCGTGTCTTCACATGGCCATCTTCTTGAAAGAATACCAGTCACCCCGGATTAGGGGCCTGCCCTGCTTCAGCAGAACCTCCTCTTAACTACATCCTTAAAGACCAGTTTTCCAAAGAATGGTCCGTTCTGAGGCACCGGGGCTTAGGACTTAAATATATCTTTTTAGGGGGATACAATTCAACCCGTAACTTTGGCATTGTATTCAGGGTTTTTAAAATTTCTTCTTGATTCAGTTTTAGTGAATTATATTTTTCTAGAACATTGTTCATGTTAGGTAAATTTTCAAATTTATTGTCCTAAAACTGTTGTCATATGGTGTTTAAAAAAAAAAAAAAAAAACCCCAATACCCTCTGTAGGTATGACGTCTTCATTTTTTTTTTTTTATTATGACTATCTTCTCTCTCTCTCTCTCTCTTTTTTTCCTGGATAAACCTCACCTGAAGATTTGCTTTTTTAACTAGTCTTTTCAGAGAGCCAGCTTTTGGTTTGTTTATTCTATTTGTTTCCCACTGTATCGATTTTTAGTCTTATTATTACCATGTATATACTTCTACCTTCTGTAGGTTTTCTATATTACTCTATTTTATTTTTCTAATTCCTCAAATTGAATATTGAGCTCATTGGTTTTCATCTTTCTTCTCGATCCTCCCCCTCTTTCTTAACATAAGCATTTAAAGCTATAGCATTGCTCTCCAAATACCATTTTAGCTGTTTCCCATGCATAGAGGTGTTTACCTTTCATTCCATTCTAAATATTTTTGAATTTCCAGTATGATCTCTTCTTTGACACACAAGTTATTTGCAAGTGTGTTTTTAAATTTGCAAATGCACGAGTTGCTTTAGGTGATGTAATTATGACTAATTAAAACGCACTGGGGTAAGAGAGCGTAGTCTGTGTGATACCAGCTGTTGAGCGTTTGCTGAGACTTGTTTTGTGGCCCAGTATGTCATCGATTATTGGAGCCGTTTCACGTGTGGCTATTTCCTTGTGAAGGACACATGTCCTTGTCTTGCATTCCCATCGGGGCATGAACACCCAAGCACCTGGATTATCAGGATGAGCTGGTCTCCTTCTGGCCCTCCGCTCCCCAGCACACCGCCCCACCTCACCCACCCCCTGCTCGCATGCTCGCTCTTCTGGTGTCTCGGTTTCTCTCTTTCTGGTGTTGATTATGTCCCTCACTTCCTTACACATTCCCCTCTGCATTTCTGATGCTTTTTACATGCCATCTACATTTCCCAGGTGTTTGCAGTAAGAAGGCTTTTTGGGTCATCTAGTGCCCCACATCGCTCTAAATGGGTCAGCAGTTCTCCAGCTATTATTTTTAACCGTTGAAGACCCTTTTGTTCAAGAAAGCTTACAGCAGAATGCTTAAATCTAAGGCAATCAAAGACAAAGATGCAGCCATCTTTGGAGCTGGGGCTGTGGGCTCCTCAGGGCATGCTTGGAATGCCCGGGAACCTGGGCATCTGGGTAAAACCCACTCGAGGTGACAAAGGTCTGCAAACGGACTCCATCCCCACATCCAGCACTGCGCCGACCACTTTCTTCCACAGCACAAGGACCCTACAATGTAGACACGGTCACTAGCCCCCCTGCAGATGAGGCTTAAATGACGTACACCAAGTTGTCTAGTGAGAGGAGAGTCAGAGGCCAGCCATCTGCCCCTCGCCTGCAGGCTTGTCCGTGGGACACGCTGCCTCCAACCATTAAGCTCCCGGCTACTTCCCACATTCAGTCTGCACATCACTGCTTTTTTTTTTTTTTAAAGATTTTATTTATATATTTGACAGAGAGAGAGAGAGAGAGAGAGCACAAGCAGGGGGAGCAGCAGAGGGAGAGGGAGAAGCAGGCTCCCCGCTGAGCAGGGATTCGTGACGTGGGGCTCGATCCCAGGACCCTGGGATCATGACCTGAGCCGAAGGCAGCCGCTTAACCAACTGAGCCACCCAGGTGCCCCTGCTCTTTTCTTTTTTAACCTAAAAAAGGGCTTTGTAAAGACATCCGGGGCTGGTTTGTTCCCGATGGCCTGGAAGGAACTTCTAGCTATTACTCACGGTAGAGGATATTTGTATTTTAGGTCTTCTGTTCACACACTCCCTGAAAGCCCAATGTTCTCCAAGACGCTGTCTGCCTGTCAAATTCAATTGTCATGGAATGACATTTTCCTGGCGATGAGTACCCCACAGGCAAAGCAAAATCTCTGACCTGAAGGTGGAGTTGTCACATTTTCCCTCACTGGGAATTATATAATAAGTGGCTTATCTAAAAGCTGACATCTCATCACCATTCGTGTGGGGAAGCTGAAGGTCTCTGAGGGCTTCCAACACCCTCACCATTCCACAGTCTGGTACAACCTAGAGAGTCCCCTGGCTTTCCCTTGATTTCTCCGTCTGCAGGAGTTCTGGCTGGTCCACTGACTTCCCTTCTTCATGCAGGCCCAAGAGATGAAGGGATACCGAATTTTCCATTCCTTTCTGGAATGAGTCATACCTTGGTTGACAGTGTTGGTTTCCGGTTCTCTCCTACTTTTGCCACAAGGTGAGGCCAGCCTCATCACTTTAGGATGTTTGGTTGCTTTTCCACTTAGTGCAAACTGTTTTCATTTTCCTCTGGACACACAGCAGAAATCCACTTCCCAGCTCTCTTGCATCTAGGAGGCATCATGTGACTTCTTTTGGTTGATAGATTTAAGCCTAGACCATGTCTTCACTTCCTGTCCATGCAATGGGACACAAAGGACTCCAAGATGGCAGAGACCCGTAATGAAAGAGCCCAGATTCCCAGGAGCCAGCCTCAAGGAGAGCCACTCAAGAAGAGCTAGGAGACTCAAATCAGATGTGACATGAGCAAGAAACATACATCTGGTTATTAAACCTCTTAGCTTTGGGAACTGTTTCAAGAGGAGGCTCTATGTCCGTGTGACAGTCATTTAAGATTTTTTGGGTCTCACTCTCTTCAACTGTAAAGTGACGATAGCAATACCATACTTATCCCATGAGATTGTTAGGAAAAGCTCAGCTTACACGTAGAAGTGCTTTATCACTTGCATGGTGTTACACAAATGTGAGGTTACATTAGGCTTCTTGTGTTCTCCAGTTTAGTAAATAGTAATGTAGCATTTACTCAGTGGCTCAGGCCAAAATTCTTAGATTCATCCTTTCATCTTCTCTTTCTCTCACATGTATTGAATTTAAGAGAAAGCCTTTTTGATTCTTCCTTCAAAAAAATAGAGGTGGTGCTTTCCACCACCTCTACTGCCCCCGCCCTAGTTGAGATGCCCATTATCTTTCACCTGAATTGATGCCCCGGCTCTCAGCTGAACTTCCTGCCTCCATTCTTGCCTCATTAAATTTATCTCCGCACATAGCCAGAAAGGTTCTTCTAGAGCATAAATCAGATGATGTTCCTCCCCTGCTCCAGATCCTCGTGACTTCATATCATCCTTTGGATAAAATCTAAAGTCTTACTATGACCCACGAGGCTCTACCTGAGCAGGGCATCTGAGCTCATTCCCTATCCGTCTCTCACTTGCCCACAGCTGTCCTTGAGCTGTTTGCTCTGCCCCTCATTTCATTCGTGCCTAGACTCAAAGGGCACTTCCCCACCTGCCCTATGGGCATGAGAGCAACTCTCCTCTCGGGCCAACAACTCACGAGCCCCTTATGCTGCTTTATCCATGGCTCCTAACAATACCTGACAGGGCACTCAACAGTTTGTTATACATTGGCTGTCGCCTCATCTGGAACATCAACTCCATGGGCACAGGGGCTTTGTTCATCCTTGTATCTCCAGCACCTAGAAGAGGCCCTGGGGCATAGTTGGTTCTTACTTTATGTATTCAGAAGGCATAAAGCCTATCACATCTTCCTCATTCCCACCTCAGTGACTCTTTTTGAGCTTCAGACCTGGTTGTTAGCTCACTCTGCATGACTCCAGTACTTTGAGATGTTTTCACTTAATGTGTAGTATCCAAATATTACAATACACATTTTTATAAATTTACCATATAAGTGTTTTTCTTTAAAAGGCTTTATTTTTTAGAGCAGGTCCCAGCAAAATTAGCAGGAAGTACAGAGATTCCCATACGTCTTTTGTCCCTACACCCATGCACAGCCTCGCTCACTTTCTACACCCTGCACCACGGTGTCCATTGTAGTCAATGAACCTACACTGGCACATCATTATTGCCCAGACTCCATAGGTTGCATTAGGGTCCCCTCTTGGTGTTATATATTCTATGGGTTTGGAAAATGTATAATGGCATGTGTCTACCATTACTGTTTCATACAGAGTATTTTTACTGCCCTAAAATTCCTCCATGCTCTACCTATTCATCCCTCCTTTATATTGTTTCCAGAGTTTTGTCTTATAGTTGAAATGACTCTAGGACTTATGTCATATAGTAGGAATCCTACAATATGTAGACTTTTCAGATTAGCCTCCTTGACTTAGTAACATGAATTTAAGTTTTCTCCATATCTTTCTATGGCTTGATAGCTCATTTCTTTTTAGCACTGAGTAATATTCCATTGTATGAATGTACCACAGTTTATTTATCCATTCGTGTGATCAATTTTTGATATAGATTTTAAATTTATTAGGGGATGGAACTAAATATTGTATATTTCCCTTATTCTCCTCCCAATCCCATCCTGTTGCCTAAGTCAGGCCCTGGGAGAGGGAGAGGAGTCTCAGTGAACCCTAGCAAAAGCCCCAGTTAATCTGCCCTCAACCCACACACTCGTGTGCCTCTCTATGTGGAGCACATTTTTCTTGCTTGTATTCACATTGTATATTAGTTCTGAACGCTCCCTGATGGTGTGCGTGCATGTCTCACCTGAGCAAAAACCCTGCACAAAAAACACCAACACACTGCCCTACCTACCTCAGTCTTGCTCTGTACCACGTCTGTATCTATTTCTAATTTCTTCTTACGACGAACAACATGATGGGTGTTTTTGGCTTCTGTCACAGACTCCTTGACTGGTGGTGGTTGGTTCCATAAATGAAATGTGAAAGTAGATGTATCTGGGGCTGCTCCTGCACTTCTGCGGTTGAGTAAGTCTGGTAGAGAAGAGAAAAAAAGTTTAGACTTATCTTTCCCAGGGCATCAGAGAGAGTGTGAGGGTTTGAGATACGGCCCATATCCCCCCAAGTAACGAAGGTTGCCTGGCAAGTAGAAAGAGCAGACCTTTGGAGAGAAATGTAGGCGTTGGAATCCCGGCTTTCTCATTTTCTGCGTTCATTCATTCGACTTACATTTATCAAGAGCCCACAGTGTGCCAGCCCAGTGCTAGCTGCCAGACACCATGGTGGTCTTCAGACTCGGGGATGCTGGGGGTGACCTACCAGCCACGTGCCAATAACCAGTGTGGCTGCTAACTCTGTTCATTTAAAAAATAGGTGAAGGTGGGGAATCATTAAAAAAAAAGGAAACATACTTTAAACATGTTATTTTAACTTAAAACATAAATGTGTATTAGCACACTATTTTAAAAGTAGGGCAAGATCTGCAGGTGGGGCTGACGACGGGCTCTCTGGTCACGTTCGTAACTTATTATCTATCATTTTCAGTTTTGGTAGTTTCTAAAGAGTCTGAATGCAGAATCACGGACTTAAAAAAAATTCTATCTATTCCCCAATCTTTAATGTACGTTTTGTCTGCATCTAATTTAAATCAGGTTTTTTAGGGGAGGGGGGGTGGGGGGATGGGTCAGCCCGGTGTTGGGTATTGAAGAGGGCACGTATTGAATGGAGCACTGGGTGTTATGTGCAAACAAGAACTAATGATGTAATGTATGGTGATTAACATAACAATAAAAAATAAAAAAAACTAATGATGTAACGTATGGTGGCTAACATAACAATAAAATAAAATTAAAAAAATAAATTTCTATATAACTTGTTATATTAAAAAATAAAGCAGTTTTTTTAAAAAGCTATTTTCTTACTGAGTTTTTTTTAAAGCATTCAACGTAGTTTTCACAGCAACAAGTTTCCTTTTATCATCATTTCTGTCCATTTTGTTTTTTTATTTTTTTATTTTTTAAATTTTATTATGTTACGTTAGTCACCATACAGTATGTCATTAGTTTTTGATGTGGTGATCCACGATCCATTGTTTGCGTATAACACCCAGTGCTCCATGCGGTACGGTACGTGCCCTCCTTAATTTCTATCCATTTTTTTTTAAAGATTTATTTATTATTTATTTTGAGAGAGTGAGAATGAGAGAGAGAGAGAGAGTACATGAGAGGGGGGAGGGTCAGAGGGAGAAGCAGACTCCCCGCCGAGCAGGGAGCCCGATGTGGGACTCGATCCCGGGACTCCAGGATCATGACCTGAGCTGAAGGCAGTCGCTTAACCAACTGAGCCACCCAGGCGCCCTAATTTCTATCCATTTTGATAACAGTTGAATTCTGGAACTAAATGAGGAGGGCAGCTGGGGAAAAATCCCTGCTCCCAGTGACTGCCCGTGGGCCTCAGACAAACAGCCAGAACAGAGGGGCCAGAACAGCTCAGTTCCCTTGGCAACTAACTGGGTCCAGGGGGAAATCAGTTAAGAGCGCTTACTCGGCCCACCACTGGGGTCACCACTGTTGGAGGAGGTCAATGGGAGCACGTGACCACTGGTTGACCTCTGACCTAGAGCCAGGCAATCAGAGGCTCCTCACCTGCTCCCCATCCTTGGAATGCACCTTCTGCCCTGCCAGCCCTTCCCACAGCTGGAGCCATTTTCAAGGACGCCGCCTTGGGAGAGCCACATGTAGTCGAGACCTGGACCACATGCTGGGACCGAACCCAATGCAGGTCTCTAGGTAAGCTTTCAAGACCTGGCGGGCGGATGTGGACATCTACTTGTCTCTCGGCTGCCCAAGAGGAGCCTTGGAAGTAAGTTCTCTTGCTTATGGAGAGAGACCTACCGGTCTGGAGAGGCCTTTCTGGAGTCTCTACTTGCCTTCCAGTTTCTAATTTCACCCGGGGCCCTGCCCAGGTGTCCCACAGGGGCCAGGAGACCTCGCAGGAAGGGACCTGAGCAGGCCTGGAGGCTGAGGAGATGGCGGGGAGGGTGAGCTTCCAACAGGTGAGGGGAACTCCCAGCATCAGCACGGTGCTGTCGAAGGCCACAGTGAGACCGGGTTAGAGGTGACCGGTGACTCCAGGGAGGCAGGCAGGGCATTCCCTTGTTCACTCATTTAGTAAAGGTCTACTGTGTATCTGGGTGCCCAGAACTGTCCTTGGTATTGGGGATTGCTGTAGTCCCTGCTCTCCTTTCTAGTAGAGGAGGTAGATGCTAAACAAGTGAATGGATACAGCTTACCATGCCGAATGGCTAGGAGTGCTTTGAAGAAGAGCTAAGCAGGGTGAGAAGGGTGGAAAATGATGTGTGTGTGTGTGTGTGTGTGTGTGTGTGCACTGACTTATAAAGGGTAGCCAAGGAAACTATTTCTGAGAAGGTGACAGTTAAGCAGAGACCTGAATAAAGTGAGGGAAGCAAGCCACAGGGATATTGGAGCAAAGAGTGCTCTGGGCAGAGGAACAGCAAGTACAAAGGCCCTGTGGTAGGGGATGCCTGGCCTATTCCATGAAGAACAAAAAAACCAGTGTGTCTGCAGGGGAAAAGGTGAGAACCTTCTAAGCCCCGTAGGGAAGGTGGGCATTTTCCGGGAGGCAATGGAGGGCCAATGAGGAGTTTTAAAAAGATTATTTGGGAAACAATGCAAAGGAAGGACTGAGAGAGGAGAAGCAGGGAGTCAGGGAGACTAGGGAGAGCTCCTTCCAGGGGAGAGATGAAGGTGCCTGAGGTAGAGTCAGTGAGAACGGGGGGCGGGGGGAGATAGGAAAAGGGGAATCTAGGATCATGGCACGTCTAAGGAACTAAAGAGGCCACCAACTAGAGCTCAGAGAGGAAGCTTTTCCTCAGGAAAATGACGAGACAGAGGTGGCAGGGCAGGGTCATTTGGAGACCCGTGTAGGAAGTCTGGAAGCGGGTCTGTCTCCCTGTGAGGAGCACCTTCCTGCTCCAGTGCTTGCTTACGACTGATAGCGATTTGTCAGGGGGAAAAAGCTGACGGGAGCCCAGCCACAGTTCCTGAGTGTCCATTAGAAATTAATAGAAGACATTTCTGAAAAGGTAAAAGATAAAAGAGGACATTGATATGCTCATTTTGTTTCCCTGTCAGAAAGCTAAAATCACGGACACCCTGGTCTGTGCTGTACATCCAGCTCTGCCAGTGTAAGGGCGAGGCTTAGGCCACCTTTCTGAGCCTCGGTTTCCTTAAAATGGGATTATGCTGTCTACACAGACCTATGGAGTTACTGTGAGTAATGCCCGCACGGCGCCGGGAGAGGGTCCATAGATCTGTGGCCTTCACGCAGGGAGCTTTGAATTGTGACGGCTCATGATTCAGGCTTTGTAGTGTTCTCTCACCTCTTTTCCCAGATGAGATGGTTCTGAACAGGAAAGGCTGCCTAATTTGAGAGGCCCCATTGCAAAATGAAAATGCAGGGGTCCTTGTTCTAAAATTATTAAGAATTTCAAGCCAGTGACAGCAGCAGGGCATTAAGCCAAACACAGGGCCTCTCTAAGTATAGAGCCCCAAGCGACTGATCATAGGTCCCACACCCATGCAGGCAGCCTGGGCTCAGAAATCAGAGTGTGCGGAGACATGGGTCTGTGTGCCTGGAATGGGGAATAGTCTGCATATCGGAAGTAAATGAGTTTGTATCTCAAAAGAGGCTGGGAGATTTCTTTGGGACTGGTAACAACCAGGACGTGAAGGGGTTGCCTTTTATCTATTTGAAATGTTGCTTTTTTTGTATAAAAAAGCTCAAACCTTCTAGGCTTCAGTTGTCCAGAGGAGCAGGGAGTGGGCAGGGGTGGTAGTGAGGCACTATGGGAATCCGGCCATTGTCAAATCTCATTTTCCATTTGGAAGTCATACCCTGGCCATGTGACAGCAGAGTATCCTGGTAGGCCTTAATTTCCCAAAGGAGCAAAAAAAATCATTCATGCCTACATCCATCAAACAAAACAAAACAAACCAGTTATTGAGTGCCTACTGGGTGCTTTGCTTGAGGTGCCAAGGGATAAAAGACACAGGTGTCTGCAGCCCAGAGGGAACAGAACTATGAGCAGTAGACAAATATAGCATCACAAGTGGAATAGATGTTTGTTGTGTTTTGGCAGCTGAGCATGTGAACCCCCCCTCCTTGTTTTGGGGGCACCCCACTGTGTGAGTATTGGTGGAAGGCAGGGCCTTCCCACTATGGAAACTGAAGGTAGCCATTCCTTCTCCTAGCCTCCTAACTCCGGTGAGGACACAAGACCTGGCTTAGAAGGCCCCCACTTTTTCTTCTCCAGACACACTGGCCTTTTGTTGTTCATTGAACATGCCAAGGGGATGAGCCCCAGGTTTGGCCTGAGAGGTCTTGGGCAGAATGTGGCTTGTGCCCACACAATGGCTAGATGATCTCAGGTAAGTCTCCTTGCCTCCCTGAGCCCTAGCTTCTTTATCCTGCTTCACGTGGTTAGGAAGATTCATTTGAATCAGAGACAGTATGTGAGAGGACCTAGTCCATAGCGGTTACTCCCAAAGAGTGAGGTCAGGGGCATAAATCAGTCCTGGGGGCCTGGACCACAATCTTAGGAAGGAATCTGCACCAGGACTGGTTGGCTGTGTCTGCCATGGGTATTCTCACCATTTCTATGTTGGATTTAGTCATCTGAAAGATATGTGGTGGCTTTGGGTTTCTGACTGAAGTAACCTCGTGGCTTAGGCTCGTGGCCCAAGTTTTCTACAATTAGACTTAAAAACACTGGCAACCTCCATGATTGGCAAATCTTAACAGCTGGACCTCACATGCCTTCAGTGTCCGGTAAAGGGGCTAATTCTTCCCCAAACTGTTGTGTTAATACTCTAGATAGCCCCTCAAATCTAGGTTAGATGCCTTCCTATGGGGCTCCATAGCCTCCTCTTCCTACTATAGCACTCAACCCTTGCATACGTGAATCCCCTTGCTTTCTTATCTATCCTCACCCACACCCCCCAAAAAAGGGTAAGGTGGCCCCAGACTGTGTCCATCTTGCTTGATATTTTATCCCTGGCAGCTAGGACCTTGCTAACCCAGCAGGTGCACAAGCTAGGCAAGGAGCATTTCTGCCTCCTTTAGGGTACGTGGCAGAAGGTGAGAGGCAGCCAAATGCCACCAGGAGAGCCGATCACGGGTTGGAAAATGGGAAGGCGGTCCTTACTTTCACGTTTCTTCATAATCCAGAGGATCGTTGTCTTGTATTTTTCAAAGTTTTTCTTCATCCTAAAAGGAATGTGAATTACCTTTAAAAGCTGGGACTAAATTCATGTGTACACGTCATGCTACACAGTGTAGACAATGCTAGAGCCTGCTGGGTGTTTCTCATAGTTGAAAAATCGGGCCCATTGCTCTGCTTTTGGACTCTGTTTTTCTTCCAGTCAGTACTCAGAGCACATGGTATTCACTCAGTGCTTGCCTCCTGGACTCTACGCGGACTCCCAAACTCTTAAAAATGAATTCAACAAGGGTCATCTCGGCAGCTAGACACAGGGCTGGGAGGTCCAAATGCAAGCCTGGCTCTGTGAGTTAAGCTCTCACAGCTTGATCTTTCAGTGGTTTGTACAAATCCCAGTGAAGGTTGCATCTGGAAATAGCTGAGAGGAGTAGCACTGGACAGTCACTCGAGGCCACTTTGCATGTAGTGGAAACATTTCAAATACTCTTATTCAAAATGACTTATCATGAAAGCCCCACTGAGGCACAGCTCTTCAAAATGATCAAGCCCTTACCCCCCCTCCCCCTTGAATGTCAATATACTAAGTAAGTCATCTTGGGACTTCAATGGCTTGGGCTGTTTTACTTCCAAATAAGGGTGGTCTCCAGCGTGCTTCCTGGTTCTCAGATCACAGCTCCTTTGAAAGGGAAGGTACTGGAAGGAGTGAGCTTCCCAGGCTTAACTGGATCTGAGAAGAAGGCTTTTGACAGGACAGATTTTAAGTTCTCAGTTCGGGTTCCTGGAGGAGAGAGGAATAAGTTAACCCCAAGTGACCCCAGGAAGCAAATACACTTTGCTGGGAAGGGCCGAACTGTTTTCCCTGGCAGGGAGCAGGTTTATGTTTGAACTTTAGAAACAATGGTGGAACTTGAAAACGAGCCCTTTGTGACCCATTTGTATCAAATGTTCTTTATCTACGAGCACTTTGAATGGAATTAAAGCAGTTACCTAGCCTGCCATCATCTGTGAAAGAATAAGGACCGAACTGTCGGTGGGGTGAAGCCTGACCTGCAGGTTGAGAGCAGGAGGCCAAAGGTATGCAAGAGTCAACTCTAGTGAGGGGACCCAGCCAGAGGCACCCAAGGTCCTCTGGGAAACGTTCCTCCCTTGGCTCTTGGCCCACCTTTGCAAGCTAATGGAGTTCTTGACAGCTAGCTCCTCAACTGCAGAGACTCTGAGGTACACACTGCTCTACTGATCAACACCCAGCAGATCCGCACATAGTAGGTGCTCAGGAAATATGTGTTGTGTGCAATCAGATTACAATGAACCTTGGTTATGGGCTTCAGTGGGATGGAATGGGTGGGGGAAGTGTCACATAAGAGGCAGGATAACTTACAGGGAAGTTAATTTGCATTTGTTTTTGTAGCTGTGAAAGGTTCTGAAAGCTTGGATAGGCTTTGTGTTTTGCTCCGTGTATTTTGTCTTCTCCTTTCCTAGAGAAGCCTCACGGGTCTCTGGCTCCAGGACTCTACCGAGCCCAAAGCAGAAGTCTTCTTGGTTTTTGTGAAAGCTTCAACTCATCAAGGAGGTTATGCGGGGTGCCATGTGCCCCCAGAGCCTGTTCCTTGGTGTCACTGCCAGAGTCTGCAATAGACGTACAGGAGGCCTGAATGTGCACCTTGCTTGCTAAGGTTTCTGGTAGTTGGATAAATGAAAATCCAAGTTTCCCCGCACCACCGACTGGATGTACAAACAGAGTTCAGGAGCATTTTGTGACCTGGGACCATGATAACTAGAAAGACTTGGTGCCAGCAAGTCTGCAATAACCTTATTGTTCCCCACTCCAGTTGGGGATTCTGGCCATGACTCCCAGGTCGGTGCAGCACATGGTTTTTCCCACTCCAGGGAGCATGGAAGAGCATTAGCTAACCTATGATGAAGCTAGGAATTTCTTAGCAGATGCCTAGGACCTTGATCCCCCCATTGTCCCCTCTCTTACAAGGCCAGGGCTCTGAGCCTTGCTCCCCAGACTTCTATATAAGCTCATGATCCCTCCAAGACTTTTCTTGCCCTGGATTTCCAACCTCTGTCACCGTCAGCCTTTGATACTACCCCGAACCTCCCATGCTTGTAGATTTCCTTGCTCTTGACTTTTGGCAGCCAGATCATTCTGTTCACCTGCCCACTGAGCTTGCCCTTGCTCTTGCACCTGCTCTTTTGACTCAGGGAACCGGCCTGGCCCTGGCCTTGCTCTTTTTCTTTGTGGTGACCCAATTTAGACTTCCCCTGCTGCTACTGCTAGCCTGCCTGAACCCACTGACCAAGAGCTTGATCTCTCCTGTCACTTACAGAATTCCCAGTTTCCGTCTGGTTTCACTCTCCAGAATTCCGGTCACGGGGACGTCAATATCCTCTTCCTGTTCTTTGCGAGCCTCCATTTCTTTGAGCATGGTCCTAAACACTGCCTGATAGGAGCTGCTGAGAAGCTACAAAAGGGACAGAATGAAACACCCAGAAGAGGGGACTTAATGGCTTTACCACTGAAGCACTTTTCTGACTCCCCAAGGTGCCAGGTGAGATTTCACCGTGCTATTAGAAAAACACAAACAGTGGGAACAGTAGTGTGGCTAGCAAGATTTGTTTTAAAGAATACTTCCACTATCCTCATACCCCTCACTCCCCAATTTGCTCGAGGTTTGTTTGTTTAACAGCCGTATGCCAACAAATCTTTTCAGAGCATAAAACTACCCTTTTTCCAAATGTGGAGACGGTTATAGAGCATAAAAACGCTTCCACGATTTAAGAGCATAACAGGCTTTCTGAGTTGCCGAAAAGGCCTGGCAGCAACAGCTGCTTACTTAGTAAAGGATGGCAGTCTTCAGGAAGGCGGGGTAGCACCTAACATGATATAGAAGTGGACAATTCTGTATTTAGAGATTCTTCCAAAGTAATCATGTCGCAAGCTGCCTTTTGATTTTGTAAATTGGAGCATTCTATCCCAAGTCTGTGAAGCTAATAACCACGACTGACTTATAGGTGGGTCCTCACAGCAGTTTCTTTTCTGGATCCCTTTTGACAGAAAGAGAAATTTGGCTTACTGTCATAGAAAACCATGGCACTTTCATGTTGCCCTGCTCACCTACAAGTTGAGGTTGTTGTGGTTGGTCAACACCTGATCATGTATAGCATGCCATTAACATATTAGCCTCCTATAGTAAGTGGAAGGCCGACATATCCAAAGTTGCGTGTGGGCTGGGACAAATATAAGAATGTAGCCTGTGGTTGGCCAGATTTTCTAGGTTGGGGGACAAGCTGGGGTGCCTCCTGTCTGGCTTGCCCAATTCCAGCCCCTGCATACCCCTCTCCCATTGCTGGTATTAATTAAACGAGCAGGCTATTACAGGAGGTGGCTCTAATGTGGCGGGGCTTAGGTGAGCAAACCAAAATCTTAGGCTATAGATGTCTCAGTGTTATGCATTGAAACCTAAGGACAACCAATCACAAGCAGCCAATTAGGTGTTAAGTGATGGCCAATCAAAAATGTCCTTGCTCTGCCTCTGCCTCTTCTTTATAAAAGCCTCTCCCCAGCTCCTGCCAGTGGAGTGCTCCTGTCACATGGAGCCTTCCCAGTGTGCTGTGCACAACCACCCGGGCGAGGTCTCCCCTCTGCCTGTGACTGCAGCTCCGTCTGGCTGGCACAGAGAACCTCAGCTGACAGGTGTGCTGACGGGTTCTGAATAATTTAAGTTTCTAATTAAAACAATTCCTTGAGATTTCAGCTCTTGCTGAAAAATCTTCCTAAAATGCCTGAGCTTACTTTCCTGTCTTAGTAAATCCAATGAGGTGAATTTGAGTTCCAGAAATTGTGCTTTCTCCCTTTAATGTGGTTTTTCAGTATTTGAAAACCAATTCTTATTAATGTATACAGAAGCAAGTGTGGACAGCAAGAAATTTAGGGCTAAATATGAACTGAGACCAGAAAATTTCCCAACTAAATAATTAAAAAAGAACCCAACCTATCTTTTTTTTTTTCACTTTTTCTATTGTAAATTTAGAAAAATATATCTGCTTAATTTTGAGTTCTGGGGACACAAGATTTCATTCTTGTGATTGTAGTTAGTACCTGGAATCCTGAGAAAGTTTCTTAGCCATAATGGAAAGGATGCATACTAATGTTTTCACCTGCATCAACATGCATGGTAAGTCTTAGAAGTAAGTTGACACAGGAAGTTAGAGCCACCAGGCTGTAGCAGCGGGTAAAATATTCATGCAGGAAAGACAACGTAGCATACTGTAGACGTAAGGCTTATTCAAACTATTATGACTTCCCATCTTCTGTCTGGTAACGGGCTCCAGCCAGGGAAAGGATGTCCCTTGGTGCTTGGGGCTGGTTCTGTGCCCTTCTGCGGGTGGTGGCGGCGGCAGGCGACAGATCTGGGGAGGGTCATCTGTGCTAGTTGCCGTGGTGTTTGCTTACGTGGCAGAGGCTGATGTCTACAGTGTCTGTCTTGCCAGGCTGCCCCATTCCTGGTTTTCTGGTCAGAGATAGCAGGTGTTTCTTGAGGCTTTTGCTGTCTGTGCCTGTTGGGGTTTCTGAGTTGCTGTCTTTCAGCACTTCATCGCCAGGAATAGAGGAAGCAAAACGAAAACTCAGGGAACTCACCGCCATGACATTCCTTGGGTCCTGCGGTTCCTAGCCAGTCTGGCTTCTGTCCACCTTTCAGAAGCTTCTTCTGTTTGTTTTATAGATAACGTCTAGGGTTCTAAGCTGTGCTAAGTGGGAAAAGTACACCTACTCCATCTTTCTGCAATTGAACTTCATTTTTATTGAAGGTTTCTACAAAGACTGATTTGCCTTGATATCTAGATAAATTAACTTGTTTTGTTCTCTCCCGCCTTTAAAAGTGATCTGGAGGGTGTTTATAATACCAGCAGGGCTCTGAAAGTAAGGCCGTGGAATGCTACATTCGGTTTTCTTCTGACCCACTTTGATGTAATACGTGTCATTTATACCTACTTCTGTTTTAAGAAAAGCTCTCTTGGGCTGTGCTAACAATGGAGTGAAGCTAGGAATCCCTGCGCTCTAGAGGCAGTTCCTGGCTGGCCTCGGGCCACCCTGCTCCAACATTTGGAGGAAGGTGGTCTTGAGTTTTTTACTTACCTTGTCATCTATGTCCTCAGCTTCCGATGAGTCAATGGGCTCATTTAATAAATCATTCCAAAAGTTCTCTTTGGTAACAAAATCCAAGACTTTTGATTTTGGAAGGCACAGCAGAAGGAAAGGCGTTTGGAAAAAGAACCATAACAAGGAACAGACAAAACCAAAACCAAAAGCAAACAGAGTTATGACATTTATCCTTGCCTGTTTAAATAAAAATGCATGCATCATTGTTAAGACTTGAGGTAAATTCACCAAATTACCCAAAATTCAACTTGGGGATATTAATAAAATAGGAATCAAAGGGTCAGTTTCAGTGGCTGACTTGAGAAAGTATGTGTTCCTGATGGATGGCAAAGGTTCACCTGACAAAGTGACACCTGAGTGGGTCCCGAATGAAGGAAATGAGCAATCAGGCAGATAACTGGGAAAGAACATTCCTGGCAGGAGGCTAGGAAGTGCAAAGGCCCGGTGGTGACAGTGGGTGGGAGTGCAGTTGACATAACTGACAAACTGTAAGAGGCACAATATGCCTGGAGAAGAGTGAGTGTGGAGGGTAGCAGGAGCGGAAATGGGGTGGGGTACAGGACCAGCTCACAGAGGACCTTGCAGGCTGTGGGAAGGATTTTAGTTTTATCATGGGAGAGATCTATTCCGAGTGTGATTTTCTCTTGGAAATCCTGAGAAATATTCCCATCTCTTGCCAGTTTTGTAAAAAAAATTGCCAATTTCTACACTTGCATATGGTTCATAATCGCGAATTAAAGCACGTGAGATGTATTCTCAAGCCAGTGAGCTCATAAAAAGTCCTCCAGAGAGCAGATGCCTTTGTTCTCAAGGTCAGCTACAGCCTGCTGACTCTGGGCTAAGAGAGGGGCTTAGAGCCTCCGGTGTTGACGGGCTGCAAACTGAATCAAGGAATTGATCATTACAACTTGCGCCCCATCCCCTGCTCCTGGGAAGCTGTGGCTCTTGAGGCGGGAGCTCAGAGGACTGGCTCTCACAGGGTCATTGGGCCCCTGGGGAAATGAGAGCAGCCCCTTCAAGCCGGCCCATCCAGACAGCCCTGAAAATCCACCAGGTTGGTGCAGGGCTGACTTAGTCTGGCTGATTTTGTGTCTCTAGGGCACCTTTGGAGGTGGAGAAGCGACATTCTTCGTGATCTCTATACATGTGAACTTCGCACTTCTTCCCAATTTTGGTTCAGTAATAAAAACTCTGTTGGGACAGAGAATGCTACTCGGCTGGATCCGCCTTTACCGGCACCGGGCTCAGGGGATTTTCTGCCTGCAGACCCCCTACCCCAGCTTCGGTTGTTTCTGACAGAAACCTGACACATCTGTGATAGACCCTGTGCTGAGAGGACCCTTACAGCAATTCGTTCTGTTAGTTCTTGCATGCACCCTGGGGTCCTCAGAACTGGCAAGGCCCCAGGGCCCTTTCAGCTCGATTCCAAAAACACTGTGTGTCCCCAGACTGCCTGCCTGCCATGGAAACAGTGGAGAAAAGTTTTGAAAAGATATTCAGGAAAACCTGACAAGAATCCACGGGAATTCCAGCAAGCTCTGAGGAGGATGGTCCTTTCGGGTGTCACTGGGGAGGAGAGGGGAAGGAACTGGGAGAACGGGTCTGGACAGACTGAGGGGCAGCACCTCCCACATGAGATTCTTTGAGTAAGTGCCTGCCTACGTTGAGAACAAGAGTCTGGCTCTGGCCCTAATAGCTCAGCAAATCCCCATCATTTGTGACTGCCCTACTCTAATAGGGCTTTCTTGAATAATACATAGTTAATTGGAGGGAACCCAAACTAGGTGTTTATCAAGGGAAGAAGGTGACCGGGCAGTCCTGAATACTGAATAGCACTGTTCAGAAGTGTTCGATTCAACATAATAATTAACCTTATTAACATCGATGGGCACTGTCTACATGTCAAGACAAGCACAGTAAGTATGCAGTAACAGCCATAACTGGGGCTGAATGAGAAGGAAAAGCTTTCTGCCGAACTAACTTTTCCTTTGGGGATTTCTGTCAACGTCTACCTTTGTTCTAGTGAGATCATTATCTTCCCCTGAAGTGGCTCCACCCGAGGGCTGGTGCGGGAAGTGCCAGGCCCTTGAGTGGTGTCACCCAGCCCCTTGGCACTCTGGGCCCCTCATCTGTGCAATGGGAACAATAAGACTTGTCTTCAAGGTGGCCCACCAGAGTGCTACCGTAAGTAAATGCCAGGCATACAGGATTCCCTCAAGTAGGCTGTGTCTTCTCTCCATCTGATCAAGAACAAATCTTAATTTTTCTCCATCCAATCAGTGACTCTCTTCTAGTGGTTTTTCCCCGACAGAACCATAGTTCCTGAATGTGGGAGAGATGCTTGAGCTGTGTGTATCTGCCCTGCAGGGCAGATCCCCACACTGTAGATGAGGAAAGGGAGGGGAGAAGCAGTAAGGGACTAGCCCAGGGACCAGCTCTGAAGAACGAGCAAGCCAGCTCCGCTGACAAATAGGCACATAGAGGAGACTGCCCAGTTTTCACCTCCTCGACCTCTGCTGTAGTAAATTCCTTTTTAGCCTCCACAGGTGGGTGGAGGGATTGGCTCTGGTCTGGTGATTGTAATGGGCACAACTCTATAAGCTGTTCTTAAACCTTGCTACTCAAAATGTGGTCCATGGATCAGCAGCAGTAGGTGCTGCTGGGAGCTTGTGAGAAATACAGACCTACTGAATCAGAGTCTGCATTTTAACAAGATCCTCAGGTGGTCATTCTTTTATTTTATTTACTTGACAGAGAGAGAGAGAGCGAGAGCGAGCATGAGCAGGGGGAGCTGAAGGCAAAGGGAGAAGCAGGCTCCTCATTGAGCAGGGAGCCCGATGCGGGACTTGATCCTAGGACCCTGAGCCAAAGGCAGATGCTTAACTGACTGAGCCACCCAGATGTCCCCCCAAGGTGATGATTCTGTGCATTAAAGTTTGGGCAGCATGGCTCTAAACTCTCCCTGGGAATGGAATAAGATGAAGAAAATTCTATTGGTCAGTACTCTTCTGGGGGTGGTGGGGCAGTGGGTGGGATGCTTTGTCTAGAATCTGAGAGTTCATTTGATGAGCCACCGTGTTTGTAAGCCCCCACCATGCTGAAAGACAAGAGATTGTAGTTCCTAAGTTGTTTTCTAATAGGATGCGCCTGGTTAATTGTGGGGCTTTTGTTTTATGGAGGGGTAGGTGTAAGATGGGACTTTGCCACCATAAGGATTCTCTCCTGTCCTTTCTCTTCATAGGATTCAATTAACCCCTCCTTAATAAAGAATTAAAAGTCTTTAAAGGTACCATTTGTAGGGGCTCCAATTTATTCCCTACCAAGGTGCTGCTGGATAAGGCTATTTGGAGGGTCCTCTGCATCCCAATCAAGCCCTGCTGTCTAGACCTCAGGCAGCCCAGCAATTGACTGGACCCTCTTAAATGTGGGGGTCCCTAGACCAGAGCTCTTGAGTATAGAGATGGACTTCTGTCCCGGGTCATTCGGTCTCACTCCAGAGACCCTCTCTCTACTTCTTCTTCCATCCGTCTTCTTCAGGAAACGACATCGAAGCCCATCCAAGTTTAGGGGCTGTGTGCCCAGCATGTCCCTAATTCCTCTCTAGGACTTGGTGCAAGCTGGACCAACAAGGGACCCACCCTCCCGGGGCACTATCCCCAGCCCAGGGCACTCTGCAGGGAACAGGAATCTTTGGATATGTTATGTTGGGTGCTTACCATTTTCTTCCCCGTGAGAAAAATCAGGGATAACATACACTGAAAAAGAATAAGAACAATTATTAATAGGATGTGGTATGGTGAACTTATGTGGACTTTTTTTCTTTTAAGATTTTATTTATTTGTCAGAGAGAAAGAGCACAAGCAGGGTGGGGGGAAGGGGCAGAGGGAAAGGGAGAAGCATGTTCCTCACTGCGCAAGGAGCCCGATGTGGGACTACAACCCAGGACCCTGGGATCATGACCCGAGCCAGAGGCGGACACTTTAACGGCTGAGCCCCCCAGGCGTTCCTTATCCAGACCTTTTGGTCCCTGAGGGAATCAATTTAAAAAGCACCTCCTAATAGCTGGGGGAGACAGGGTGGAGATCACGTGTTTTGGGATAAGTAGCTTCCATAAACTTCAACAGTTTGAGGCCTGTTGCTTACGCTCAACAAATATTGATTTCCCTCCCTGTGTTGGTATTTCATCTTGCGCGTTAGGATTTAAGGTCTGAATACAACATAGTGATTCAACAACTCTCTATGTTCTGCTCTGCTCACCACAAGTGTGGCTACCATCTGTCAGAGGGTGTGATGGTTTTGTCCATCTTATATCCTGCCCAGTATGCAGTCGGTGTACAATAAATGTCTGTAGGTATACAGTAAGTGTCATGGAATAAGCTGAGTATGGGTAACCTATTATCCTTCCTTCAGTAATTCCAGTGGTAAATACTGTTTCCTCCCTCTTCAAAATTCAATTTTAATTCAAATTTGAAAGCCTTTTGACCCTTTGGCTCAGTTTCTTCCCTGAGCCCTAAGCCTTGCATCGAGCCCTGGGAATAACGCCTTAGCCACAGGCCTTAATTAAGATTGCTTTAGTCTAAAATGGTCAAAAGAGGTCTCTCTCTGGCTGGGGGCAGGCTAATTCTGTTTTTCTTACCTTCCCGTGGATGGATCTGTAACTTCCACAAGTCATTTAAAATCATCATAAAATTATAAAATTTAAATACCTTCTGAACCCGACTTTAAAGAGGGTAGCATGGTTATTGACATTTCTTGTCCTGTTTTCGTTTTTGATTTTCCAGGTGCCGTTAGAAGACAGAAGAATGTGGCCATTTAGCGATTTTAACCTCACCCCTTGCAGGGGCTTCATATCAGACATTTAGGGCCTAAGATTCTTCCTTGGTGCCCAAGGCTGATCCGCAGAGGGGAGGAACGGCTTGGAGGGCACTGAGGCCGTATCTGGGTGCATCCCCTGCCTCGCCTCCTGTTTAGTTTCGCTAACTTACCGCAGCACAGCGGTAAAGCAGTGGTCGGGAGATGCAGCCCTCTGCGGCCCTCTCCTCTGGTCACCATGGGCCGGCTGGGCTCTTAGGATCAACGGAATGGCTGGGGCTTGGGGGGTAGATTTTAGAGCTCCAAGTGGCTTCCGAGGCCATGTGGAGACTTGAATGGGGCTATGCCTGTCCCTGCAGGAAGCGGGTATCTCTGCTCTTCTGTTGCTCTCTGAGAAGAGTTCAGTGGTTGCTGGCTGGGAAGCCAGGGGCGTGTAGCACAGATCCGCTAAGATAGGCAGTGGGAGGCTACTGTATTTTTTGAGAGCTTTTGTAAGTTCCTGGCTACCGTTATTTTATGCCTTCTGGAATTCTGTAGCCCCTGTCCCTTTTTTGCACCTTCCCCCACCTCTCCCTCTCCCTAAGTGCATGTGTGCACACACACCCTGGATATACCAATCTTCAGAGCAGAACATGGCAGACACCAGTGGTGAAAAAGCAGAGGCAAACTGCTCCATCCGCTCCCGGGGGTGGCAGGATTCGAGCCTGGCCTGAGGTGCCCAGATGAGAAGCCTCCCGCACACGAGCCGGGTTGGGGCCTGCTCGTTCTTCAGCCGAGGCAGAGCCCCGTGTGGACAAGCAGCTCTCCGGCTTTTAAGAAAACTCATGCACTGTGGCATAGCTCTGACTGGTACCATTTCATTTTCTTAACATGTTTCCCTTCAGGGCACACGCAGAGTCAGGTCTCATCTTTGTGTGGCAGATGGTCAGATATTTGAAGGCAGTCCTAGCTCAGAGCCACGGGTCCTCCAGGCTAACCATTGCCCTTCACTGCAACAGTTCTGGGCATGACGTAGTGCCCAGGTCCGCCTCCCGCCACTCTCTAAGCCCAGTCCGCTTCGAACTCTCCTGGAGTGCGGCAGCCCCCACACTGAACAGGTGTCCCGGGGCTGGCCCTCCAATGCAGGCTAAAGCACGACTGATTTCCCTTTATGTAAACGTTAGCTTTTCTGGCACTCACCTGGGTCATACCGCTGACTTACTGAACTTGTGGATGAGTAAAGTATCTACAACAAACAGGGCTTCCCCACCCTGTACTTTCCTATCCTATTATTTCTGTGGGCCCAAGAGCAGGATCTAATGTAAGTTGACCTTATCTAGGATCTAGCTAGTTCCCGTTCAATGTTTCCACCTGTCAAGCTCTTTTAGGATCTGATTATGTTATTCCCATCAACCAACAGCTTCAGGTAATCTGCAAATATAAATACTCCTCCTACGTCTGTGTCCAGGTCTATGATAAAATGTTGTGCCGGTCAGAGCCCTATGGCTCCCCACTGGAAATGGGGTTGACTCTGATCTTTAAAGCAGTGTCTCTGGGTGGTTATTCAACAGTTATCATTCTATCGTCTTTCATGAGCACCCACCTGATATTTCTTTATCTTGTCCACAGGAACATCAGGAAGGCTTTGAAAATGAAACCCATTGTGGAATTTGGGTCTACTAGGTTATCACTGTTCCCTTATCTACCAACTTTGTCCAAAAAGGTGACCTAAACCCAGTATTACTTGATGTGTTCTTATTGATCTTACTCTGATTTCTTGTGGTCATTCTGCTCTCAATATTTGCCCCGGATTGGTCACAGACTCATCTCCCGGTTCCTCAGAAACCATAAACGTGATTAAGATACTCTCACTCTATAGACACTCTGGTGGATATTTTACCCAGGGCAGGACACAGCAGTTACTGTCCCCTTCTGATCTTTTCACCAGTCTTTGGTTTCTGCTATTTTTGGCTGAATTTTCTTGCATCCATTTCAATCTGGAGATCATTTTCCTTCACAGTGACATCAAAATTAAATAGCAATTGAAGAACCTTTCTCTGAATCATTCCTCCGCATCGCACTAAACAGTGGCCCTGTCTACCTTAATTTTAATAGGGCCCCTCCTTTTGTGGCTGCCTGCGTGATGATGGTGATGGTGATGACAGGACGATCTTCTGGTAAGAATAAATTTATCCTGGGCTTCAGCTCTGTTGGCACTATTCCTGTTTCTTTTTTTTTTTTAAAGATTTTGTTTATTTATTTAGAGAGCATGCATGAGCGGGGGGGGGGGCGCAGAAGAAGAGGGAGAGAGAGAATTCTAAGGGGTCTGCCGCGGGGCTCAATCTCACGACCCCGAGATCACGACCTAAGCCCAAATCAAGAGTCAGATGCTTAACTGACTGAGCCACACAGGCGCCCCTCTCCTGGCACTATTCTTAAGGTTTGAGCCATTTTCCCACCTTTATCATAGGGAACTTTATCATTTTTTCTTTAACCTCTGTGTGCGATCTTTCAAAATCCGAGTCCATGGCAGGAAACTGCACGAACGCTTGTTTGCACTTTTGGGAGTTCTCCAACACTCTTCTCCATCTGGCCAGGTGGCTTGAAGCAGACTGCACCACTGAAGGCACTTCCTCCCTCTGTTTATCCTCACCCACATTTCTAGATGTATAGTGTCTCTTTGTGTATATATTTCTGTATGCAACCCCCTTCCCAACCAGACTGTTTTCTTGGGAGTACGATACACCCTCCCGTCACCATGTCTGATCTCGAATTAGATGAGGATTCAACAATTTTGCAAGTGTTTAATAAATATAAGTGCTTACTACGTGCCAGGCACGAAGTCTTGAGGATCTTTACAATCATGGGTAGAATGCTCTGTGTTAGAACTCCTGCAGTTCTTTATGAGTCTGCTCTGTGCCTGGACAGGTAGACACCTGAGGCCATAAATAGTCTTTCTGGTCCTCCTTCGGAATACTTCCTTACATAGCTCATGAGGCATTTCTGGTGCCTTTAGCATTCCTTCCATATCAGACCTGCCACTCTCTGTAGTAATAGGGTTCAAGGATTTATCTGGGTGTTTTCCCTCCAGATTCAGTTCAAAGTCTTATTTGCTGAGAAGGACCCTGCCACGTGAAATGCTCTTTCTGGCCCCCTGGGGTTGAACAATCCCATAATTTACAAATGCTCTAAAAGTAGGAAATGAGGACCCGTGAAACTCATCCTACGGTCAATAAGTAGCAATTGAGGTTCTCTGGTTCTCCGATGCTCCGGTGCCTATAAGTCCTCTGGGGATCATGTTAAGCATACAGACAGGGATCCTGGTAAGGCTGGAAATCTGCGTCTTTACAGGCAACCGGGAACAGGGATGCACGGCAATATCTATGCCTGCTCTCATCTCTGCTGTTCCTACTGGCCCCACAGCCAGCATTTTGGATTGCTTTTGCCTTGATTGTGTTTCTCCACCAAGTGGATGGGTGGCTTCTGCCCTGGGCTGAAAGCAGACTCTTTTTTGCATCTGCAAAAACCCCGAGAATCCTCAGGGTTCTGTATTCCAGCTGCAGAAGGACTAGCTTTCCTCCATGGCATGGGCCCCATCACCAACCTCCCACACATCGCTTTCCCCGTGTCACCTTCTTCTCTCACCTCTGGATGTGGTTTCGAGCCCTTCTGCCTTCCCGGAGCTCCATTCTTCATGGGTTTTTCCTGCACCCTGTCACTTTCTCTTACAACTCCTTAACCCTCAGACGGAAGTATCTTTGTCATCTATTCACCCCATTCTGTTGCCCAGACACAATCTTGTATATTATTACAGGCAATGTTTGCCCGACCATTACCAATGCTCTCCAAAGGACAGATTGCAAACCAAAAGCAGAAGGGGAAAGAAAAACCTCCGTGAATTTTAGAGAATCACTTGCTTTTCCTTGTGTTTCAATCTCTGCTCTACCCACCATCCCCTCACATAACTGCAGGAACCTGGGGTGTGTCACTGATCGTGGCTTAGAGGCTCCAACACCCAGCACACCTTTGGTCCAGGCCACCCCTGTCGCAATATTTGATCAGTAGGCATTTACTGTGGGCGGCTAGACTTTTACTAAGCACTGACCTGACCATATGTCGGCTATAAGGATCTCAGTCCTAGAAAGACACTTAGCTGCAAAACACGCCCCTACAGGCCAGATATGCAGAGTGCTTAAAACCCCAATTAGATGCAGACATCACTAGTTCTGTAAATTAAGCCTAGGGACCAAAAGGATTGAGAATGAACAGGTCAAATGAAACTATGACCGCAGGAGGCTCCCTCTCTGGAGGTGGGTCCACAGTGGGATGAACGGGCTCAGGGCCCCCCCCTTCCCTCACTCCAGCCTTCTATTCTCTCCCCTCCCACATCCTTTCAAGCTTAGCACCGGCACTTTACAGGCTATTACCCAGTAAATGACTTTTAGAATCCTGCTTATGAATATTTAGATAAATGCTCAGATTTTTCCCAGCTGTCATGCTTATTGACTTCAAAATGGTTCCATTTCTCAGGGCCCCACCGGAGCGCACATGCTGACAAAAGTCCCACATGAACTGATTTCACCTGTAAAAATCCCCCTCCTCTGGAGCTGCTTGTGCCGATGGGCTCCTGGCTTGTGCGGGCCTGCCCTCTGCCTCTCCACCCTCCCTCATAGGGTTTCTGGTGCCTAATTCCATTTAACCACATTTGAGCTACAAAATAGAGCAGGCACGGACGCAGGCAGGGAAGGGGTGAGTGGGGAATATAATTTACCGCTGCCATGACTACAGCTGTGAAATGAATCTGTGAACCTGTGATGGATCAATCTCACGAAGGCAGGATTTAAATTATTAATAATGGCAAGCAAAGCTGCTCCGTCTTCCATGCCAGGGTCCTAGGGTGAGGGGACTTTGGGCTTAATTGGGTAGAGGATTAAGATTCTCAGTGCAATCTTGCCAAACTCTCTCTTGAGTGTCTCCCAGTTGTGGCTACGGAAGTTGATGCTGCAGCTGGTTTTGGCCGGGTGGGAATCAGGGCCGGCTTTGACTGCCTGCTGAGACACAGTGCTGTTGCCGCCGTCCACGTGGTCCTCCGGGTACAGCCCGTCACCCCCAAGGAGCCCGTCTGTAATCTGGGAAGGTAATGGCCTGTGTCCCTGAGGGAAATAGGGCCCGAGTTCATGTAGAGCAGGAACAAGAAGACTAATGAAAAGAGAGGGAAAGGTTGAAAAAGGTATTTGTTTCAGCACTTTGCTGATGTTTCTCTGAGGGGGGTGCTGGGATGGAGGAAAGGGGTAGCGGGGCTAGTAGAGGAGTTTAACTTCCTACCTAAAATACCACTTCGGACGGCACGGGAAGCAGGTGTATGTCATTAGCGTGACAGGCAACCGTCGAACCGTGATATTTCACACCCATGGAACGCGCCTGCCCTGCCGCACCCCCCCCCCCCCCCGCGTGGTGGCCAGCAGGGTGCAGTTCCCCCATCCCCTGCTTACTCTGATAGGTCCATTCTGTCTGCGTGCTCCGGTCTTGCCAGGCCAGAAGTTCTCCATGTTGCCGCACGTACGAGGTAGAAGGCGTTATGTTACCGAATGGAGACTCGTGGGGAAGTTCAGAGATGGAAGGCGGGACAGAGAAGAGGGTGGTCCCCTTAGAGGGGCTAGTCGCTGAGCTCCTGTCAGAGGGGAGCACAGAGGCAGGTCAACTTCCACCCAGGGGCCAGGTCAGGCACTGAGGGCGATGGCCTGCTGGAAAAGTGGGGTGGCTACTCTCCGGCTCCTGCAGACTCTGCCCATCCCACATGGTGGGTGTCACAGGTGAGAAGGGACCAGCTAGTAGATGATGGTAAATAGGCCTGTGTGCTCTTCCAGGCAGCAGAGCCCCATATGGCTGACCGCTGCTTCGTGTTCAGTGAAAGGCTCTGTGGATGCCTTCAAAGGCCAATGGGCCAGGCTTCCATAACTGACAGTCTAATGTTCCAGAACATTCTCTATCCTTCCCGGCACACGACACTGCCCATCCCAGTGGCCCTTCCTGCCTTACTGCTGCCTCAAGTAGAGCAGGAAAAATATTTTTTTAAATTTATTTATTTTTTTTTAAAGATTTTATTTATTTATTTGAGAGAGAGGGAATGAGAAATAGAGAGCACAAGAGGGAAGAGGGTCAGAGGGAGAAGCAGACTCCCTGCTGAGCAGGGAGTCCGATGTGGGACTTGATCCCGGGACTCCAGGATCATGACCTGAGCTGAAGGCAGTCGCTTAACCAACTGAGCCACCCAGGCGCCCGAGCGGGAAAAATATTAAAGTAGATGCTGCGGCAGCTTAAAATCAAGCACCGAAGTCTGTTCCCTCTAGTCTGCCTACTACAAGCACCACCATTATCAAGAAAGGTTTCCACAGGGCCTGATGACAGAGCATGGGCTCTGAGGCAGAGGCCCTGCCATCTGGTACCTTAGGCTCAAAAGGGACCCCCCCAACACACAGACCCACACTGTGTTCTTCCTCAGAGACCTCTGGTTTTTAGCTAGGGACAAAAAACTGTCATTCAAAAAAGCGGTCTTTGGGGTGTTTCAGCCCTGAAGTCACCTCATGAAAACTGGCTGAAATGGCAAAGACAAGTGTAGGGAAAATGCCCAACATATAAATGGGCAGTGACTATGGTTGGTAGAAAAAACACAGACTTTGGTGTCAAACGACCCAAGCTTGAATCTTGGCTCCTGCACTAGAGAGGAGGAACTTTGGGTAGCTTATTTAACGTCTCTGGGCTTCGGTTTCTGCACCTTTTTGATAATCATACCTCTGTCACAGGTCCCCGCCGGGGGGGGGGGGGCAAAGTGAGCGTGGGCCGCTGCTGTTCTTACTGGCGAGGGAAGCAGTTCGGTTCGGTGGCCCCTCAGAGACAGGCCTGTTCCCTGCCTGGGTCAGCACCTGCCCCCCCCCCCCGCCCCCGCACAGAGGGACGGGGAGGCTGAGGTCTGAGACTTGAGGGCAGAGAGGCTGAGGGAGAGAAGAGGCCCAGCGTCTGTGGGAGTTACGGCAGATCTTGTTTCACTTCCAAGGGACCCATGGGAAGGCCTGGGTCTGTGCCAGCCTGTGGTGAGGGCATCGCACCACTGAAAAGGGGGAATGGGGTCACGTGAGCAAGATAGCAGACGCTAGATCAGGTGACCGCAGGGATCAAGAACAAGTGGACAAAGGTAAGCTCTTTAGGCAACTGTCAACTCTTGCCCCGTTCCGGGCCTCAAGGCCAGATCAGGAGACTCTCCTGGGCTTTATCCTTTTAATGGGATAATGCAAGTCCTACTTCACTTACCAGGTGCTCCCTAGGACCCAAAGAGGTAATGCAAGTCCCCACGAAAAGGACTTTGAGAGGTCAGAGCTGCCAAACACACAGGGGGATCATACTTAAGGTAATGGTGGGCCCATCTGGTCATTACCATCTTCATGTACATTTACTCAGCATCCTCCCTGCCACGCCTGCCCTGGGCTGGGACATGGCGGGGTCTTCTGGGGGCACCTATGGAAGCAGGACTGGGGTTCTGGCCTACCTGGGCCAAATACCAGCTCCCTGCTCCATCTGCAATAGAAGGGTGCAGGAGGATCCACTAGATCCTAGATCCCGGGGAGATTGGATGGTTCTAGGCCTGCTTCTTCAGGTGTTTCAGAGTGGGGAAGGGGCCTGTGTGTGCCGGGGGGGTATCTTCAGGGCATGCGTAGGAGTGGGAGAGGGAGCCTTCCTGTTTATAAGGGACCCATGAAACACTTGACCTGACCTTTTCCGGCTCCCCGCCTTAACAAACAAATAGGAGTGTAACACTTCTTGCCTAAAGTGGTTTGTAGGTTCAGTCTCTCAGCAACCTGGTGTCAGGAAAACCCAGGGCCTCTCTAATCCCCACGAACTCCTCCGTGACAGGAAAGCCACTCGACTGGAATGTGGATAAAGGATTGGATGGGTGCATATGTTTGGAATAAAGCCGACTGGGAATCATGACTCTTGTTCTGGGCGTGCTAAGTTTCCATGCGGTGGCTTGCGGGGAGCAGGAGGGGGAATAACAGTGACCCGTTGCACGTACTGAGCCCCTGTTCTCAGGGAGCCCCGTGAGTTAATACTCATCGAGTCTCCACCACAGCCTCATGGGGCTGAAACTCCTCCTGTCCCCATTTCACAAATGAAGAACCCGGGGCACAAGGAGAGTGTGTGGCTACCCGATGGCACACAGCTGGCTGAGATTCAAACCCGAGCGGTCTGGCTCTGAGCCCCTGTTCTCCGTCCCAGGCCTCCCTGTGCTCACGGCCACAGTGCTTCAGATGCTGTGGAGTCTGTAACTGAGGTGAAGGGGCCTCCAAAGAGCCACTGCCTCTTATACGTTGCCTTAGTGGGGGTGATGCCATCCCATCCACGTTGCTGAGCCCCCAGGAGCGTGAAGCCTGGGGCTCAGGGGCCAGTGGAGAGCAGCAATGGGGGCCGGCCTCACCAGGCTGAGGGGCAGCCCTCAAGTTGTAGCCTGCAGCTTCCCTATGTGGCAGAGCACGGACCTCATCCCAGCTTCTCACCATAACCAAACTGGCCTTGTGCTTTCTTTGTATCCAGTGCCAACCCACTTGACCAGTGGACACAAATGCCCCGCAGTCATCCTTGGGGGAGCGAGTGTAGGGATGAAACACAAGGGTGAGGACTGCGAGATGGAAGTCTGGGGTACCCACCTTGGTTTCTACAGAGCTGAGCACATAGGCGGCATTTACTCATTTATTCCATAGGTATGTTAGTGACCGTCTCGCATGCACCAAGCCCTGTGGCAGTTTAATGAGTGCCCACCGAAGGGTGACTGAGACCTTGGGAACGTGCCTGAGGAAGGAAAATGGCGACTCTCTTTTGGGCATTCATCCATCTGTTCACCGCGAGCATGGCCACAAGCCCCTTGCTGTCTTTTCCTGGGTGAGACCTTCTCTGCAGACTCAGATGGCTCTTACCTTTTCATCTCTGTAGTTCTGGGCGCCCAGGACTTGGATCTTGGGACCCGTCCCTTGCCCTGTGAGTGGCTGAGTGACAGAGGGGGCAGTGGTGGGAGGTCCTTTATGTGTGACTCCCAGAGATACCCTCCCCTCTGCCTGAATTCCTCCTTCCTCAGGGGGCCTGAACCCTGCACCTCCACACCACCTGCCCCCGCCATTCCTGTCTTTGGGACTGCAGAGGCTCCTGACGCATCATCCCTAAGTGTGACTTTCCACCTGATTTATCCAAAAAGAAAACTATTACCTTGTGGTAGGATGAGGCAGGGTTTGACATGAAGAAGTAATCTTTAATTCTATTGGAAAAAGAACAGAAAGACAATATTGAAAAAAATAAAGAAGGCATCATTTTTTCAACTTAAGAATATGTTGTTAAGTAGGTGATGCTGGGTTTGGGGTAGAGAGGCCCCGCTTTATATAATTCTTCTTTTTTTACTTTTCATTGGTGGTGTCTCTCTTAATGGTTTCCCTTAGAAATTACAAGGTTAAATTTTATAGAGTCAGTGAGAACTCAGGAAGATAATTTTCGTGAAATCAGGAATTTTGGAAATTCAAGTTTGCTTTGTTAAACTTTGGGTCATCACAGGGGCCTTGCTCTCTCATGAGATGAAGGGTATCTGTACAGAAGAGGTGATGGGGGTTCAGAGGATCTAAATATTTTAAAAATGAGTTTTAATTTCAAAGAAACTGTTTGTGTTGTTTAATCACCCATTTGCCTTGAATGATACATCAAGAATTTCACATACAATTGGGATAGAATAGGCCATCAGTTCTAATAGAGAGACTGGCCCAGTGGAAGTAGTAAAGAAATGAGAACCAGAACTTGAAATTTGAAACTTAAATGTTCAACACTTATACTTATCCACAGTTTACCCATGACACAGAATATTATTGAGGAGTGTTAGGTGGCTGTTAAAATGATATCTACAAAGGTTAACCAATACAGGCAAATATTGAGGTCACAGTTCTGTTACAAAAATAAAATACAAACTTGTACATACAGTATGTTTGAAACAGTAAAAACACAACAGAACAAAGCTACAAAACAAGGACCACTACCATCCAACACATCTTACAAAATAAGAGCGGGAAGGACAGAATAAAAATCACTAAAGAGTGAATCAGCCTTATTTATATTTGGATGTTGGTAGATGGGGTGATGCTTTTCCACTTTCTGCTTTTCAAATTTCCCATTAAAAAATGAACAAAAGTAGATTTTATTTTTTATGCCATTCTCTTCAAGTATGTACATAATTTATTAAAAAGCCCAAACAAAGAAGGGCAGGAGGAAGGAAAGGAGAAAAGAAAGAGAGGTGATTACAAGAGGGAGAAGGGACGCCTGTTGATTTCCCATGACCTTGGAGTAGTCACTTACCGTCTCTTGGACTCCAGGTTCTTCATTTGTGACAATGGGATAAGTAATGGCTGGGAGAATTTAAGGAGACAAAGATCACGAAATATACAACACACGCCCTATGCCCCTGAACTGCGCTCCCGACCGTCTGGCCAAGACACGTACAGAAAATGATGCTGTTTGTTCAGGAGCAGAGTGGAGGCTGCGAGCGACCGGCCCCCGGGCTCGGCATCTCCCCCACCAGTTGCACTCGGGGCACCCTGGCTGTGGAACTCTGTCACCATCTGTGAAGTTTCCTGCCTGACAAATTGGCTGGCTCTCCCGTCCCTGCCTTATCAATATTTTGCACACCTTTCTTCTTAAATACACGGAAAACTGCTAGGTGCCCTGTGGGAAAGGGTTATTGGGGTAGCAACTCTCAACTGGAAAAGGCAAAAGGATTATAATAGCATTTAGGCCAAACGGCATTTGGAGCTATGGAAGAGGGGGTAGCAAGGGTAAAGAAAATCAAATCCAGCAGATTATGCGTATCAAAATACTATGGAGCAAAACCATGATAAATCAAAATAGCCTGTGACATCTCTGGCATTATTTGCCACAGAACAGAATTCATCTTTAGGAAGGTCTTGGGTTCTAAAAAAAAAAAAAAAAAAAAAAAATCCCAAAGGGGCCTCATTATGGGGTGGTTTCGTGTTCTATGACAGCGTGATAGTAACATAGATGGTACCTCCTTCTAGCACCTCCTGCCCATGTGAGATCAGAAGAGCGTTTTCACACCTTACAATTGTATGGTGTGGGAGAGCTTTCAAAGCATTTCTAGATACATTTATTTTATGTAAATATCGCAACCACACTGTGAAGAAAGGTATTTTTTATACAAAGGGAAACTGAAACTTTGAGAAAGTGACATGCCCAAGGTCAAAGGCCCCACCCATGTGCTGCATCTTTTGACTCTGACACCGCAGCATGGACACCCACATTTTACAAAAACTATTTGGAACCTCTCAGGGAGATCCGTCATATGGAGCTATGGGTTATTCAGTGGGGATAGATGCTGCATTTGTGTTCAAGTTGCTCATCTAATTTTATGGGATTTCCCTGCAAACCATGGGGAAAATCATTTCTTTAAAGAAGAGAAAGGGGGGAGTAGGTTGTAAGGGTGACCCTACCCTGATTTGTCCCGGGCAGTGGGAGTCTCTGATATTGACCTGCCTGCAGAGTATTTAGGTGGGCGCACAGATTCCTCCTGTACCCCAGTTGGTCGCATCTTCTTTTTTTGTTACGTCCAATCCATAAATTGGGATGGGGTGTGTGGTGATGGGGAGTGTAAACGACCCTTCACAAGTCAACGGTCGGGGAATCATAAAACACAAAACAACAACAATAATGATAGCTAACATTGGAAAGCCTTCAAATGCTATGTGCCTGGCATAGCTCATAATGCTCTACATGATTGAATCTCTCTCATCTTCGCAAATATCCTATAAAGTATGTCTCCTGTTATTCCTAATTTAGAGTTAAGAAAGCCAGCACGCAGAGGGGTTAAGTGACTTGCCCAAAAGTTCGTGCCCTAAGAAGTGGGAGAGAATTAACCCTCAAACTCAGGCAGTTAAGGTCCTGAACGAGGAAGGAAACAGTGTTCTTAGTGATAGACTCACACCTACCCCCCAAACGGACAAATAAATGGCCCTCCTGACCCTCCGTCCCCATCTGATCCTGTGGCAGACGTCACTGGTCCCTCGCAGCACTCTCTCCTGCGGAGCCCAAATGGGCCCGCAGAATCTTCCTCGATATAGTGCTCCCCCACTAGTCTCTAGCAATTAATCCATCAACCCAAGCGAGAGAAGCCCATTTGTCATTTCTAGGGCCCACTTTCAATTTCTTTTTTTAAAGATTTTATTAGAGAATGAGAGAGAGAGCACATGAGAGGGGGGAGGGTCAGAGGGAGAAGCAGACTCCCTGCTGAGCAGGGAGCCCGATGTGGGACTCGATCCCGGGACTCCAGGATCATGACCTGAGCCGAAGGCAGTCGCTTAACCAACTGAGCCACCCAGGCGCCCCCGCTTTCAATTTCTAAAAGGTGTTTCTAAGAATAAATGCAGGTGCGTGCATGCGAGTGCGTAAGCATGCGCCTGACTTTATGAAATGGATGAAATTGAACTTGACTCCATTTGCATGTCCTGAGCATTTCCTAGGGGTCAGGAAGGCACCCTTGTGCCAAGGGCTTGACAAATTTCTAAATCTTAAGGGTATTGGCAAAATATTCCACATTAAGAAATCTTGATGCAAATTCTTTTGGAAAGTTCCGAATCGTCTTGTAGACCCCTTCTTAATTTAGTGCTTAATTTAATGTTTTGTGCATTTTCACACCAAGACATTCTTCCATGTGTGTGCCTTTAAAGGCATTTTAGCATTCCTCTACAGTTTTTTCAGTGACTCTCCAAATTTTGCTAGCAGGGCATTTATTTTCAAAGCTTTTGTTTTATACATAGTTCCATTCACTTGACAGCATTGTATTTGTCCTACTGTAGTGGGTAATATATTTACAAAGGCCCAGTGCATACAGGGGACATGTTAAGAATGCTTGATTCATACTGTGCCAAAGAAAGGGCCCGAATGCTGTTATTCAGAATTAGAATTACACTTGGTATTTCAACAGCAGGGATATTAGGATTCTGAGAGGGAGCTTCATGGCAGAGGCACACACAAAAGAGAGTTTCCCAGCAATAGAGGTATTACCTCTCCAGTGCCCCAGTGAAACTTCTATGAGGATAGGAGGAACCTAGGATGATGCATCTGATTTGAGGAAGAGGGACGTCAACGCTTGTGTTGGCTGCTAAGAACACCCAGCTCTTAGGATGCAGGCGGTGTGTAATCAGATTGGGATTTAAAAATTCAAGCTGCCTGAGTGGCTCGAAGTTGGTAACAGAATCAGATCCAGAAAAATAAAGTAGTCCTCTTTCTAGGTCAACATTAAGATCATGCAGATGACCTGGATTTTTAACTTTCTGAACCTGGTTGGCTATGGCCATGTAGTCATGACAGCAAGGGACGGCACCACATGGGCCTCGGAGAAAGTGGGAATCAGCCACCTCTAGCAATGGCACAAGGAGGCCACTGCCAAATAATAAAACCCGACTTCAGGAAAAGGTGCCAATCGCAGGAACGCTATTGGAAGAATGTCAGCCCCAGGGTGAGAGAAATCACTCCGAAGTTAAATACTCACAAGCAGGGTAAGGTGAGGCCTTCCAGGGGCCTAGTGGGCACTGTGAGAAGCATACTAGTGTCTGTGGACCTAGCAACAGACTGCGGGATGGATTCTAGGAAATAATTGGAGGTCATTGATAAAACTGAGCTCTAAGGATGTTTAGCAAAGTGCTGTTTGAAAAAGTAACCCCCCAAAAATCAGAAGCAATGAATGATTAATAATAATCAGGAATCGATTAAAAATATTACGGCTTGAAAATACAACAGTGTGATGTAGCTATCAAAAGGACTTGTAGAAAATTTAATAACATGAAATGTATTCATATAAGTATGAATACTTACATGTGTTCATGTAAATATGTAATGTAAGTATTATATGTCACCTGCTTTTTAAGGTATATTATTTATAATTATATATATGTAAATTATTATATATAAAGCATAATATACCTTAAAAAGCAGGTGACACACCCTTTATAAACCCTGGGGAGGCTATGACCAAAATGTAAAAGTGATTGTTCCCCTCTGGCTGGTAGTGATGTTTGCTTTCTTCGTTTTTCTTACATATAGTTTCTCAAACATCTACAATAAATGTGTATTACTTGTGCAATAAGGAAAAGACACACATTATAGGGTCTGTTTTGTTTGTTTTGTTTATGAATGGGGGCTTTATGTTCACTAAGCCTCTCCGCTCTGTGGGCACGGGGCTGGGGGGGCACCGCCACTGAGGCTGGGTGAAGCACCTGTCAGTCCTGAGCGCACCGGCAGCACCGTGGCCGGGGTTGGCAGACTGAGCGATGGCTCTCTCCCAAGTCTGCCCTTTTTTCCTGGGCGTTGCAGTGAACTAGCATTGCTTTCTTTTAGGAGGCCCCCCTGCCGGTATCCCCTCCCTGATACACTTCTTCATACACATCCTCTTTTCTTTTTAGCTACTCTCCCTCATCCAGATACTCACTGCCTTCCAGATACTTTTCGAACAGATCCTCTTTTTCTTCCAGATGCTTTTTCTTCTGTAGATGCTTTCTCTGTTTCACAGATGCCGGAGTCTCATATAGATACGTGTTCTCTTTCAGAAACGTTTCTTCCTCCAGGTACTCATCTTCCTCAGGATCGATGTCCTCTTCCAGATACTCATTGTCTTCCAGATACTCACTGTCTTCAGGAGATAGATATTCTCTCTCTGAGTTCTCATCTTCCTCTTTATGTCCTTCCTCCGAATATAAGGTCTGTGTGGAATACTGGGAGGTTGTGGGAGGGGAAAGAGGGGATGTTCCTCCTGAGGACTGATTATTTTCCGCAGACATGTTGGGGCAGCATTAAGCAGATGAAACCCTTCAAGCAGCATGCAGTCGCTTTACCATCCTGGTAACCAATAAAGGAATAAAATCCCATTAGTCAGTAATTGCCCACTGCATATTGATTTAAATCCATTTTTGTTCACTCATTTCATTTCGTAGTCTTTGGATGGCCCTTTGAGTGTGCCGATCAGTACCTGGTGGCCCATGAAAAGGCCCAAACAAGGGGGAACAGAGGTTTTACCCTCAAGGAGCTGGTAGGAGAGACCACACCCAAAGGCAACACCTTTGCAATTACTGCACAATGTGAAGTGAAGGAGTGACTCAGTGTCTGGTGGTAGGGTCACCAGAGGAGACTTTTAGTGATCCATCGAGAACTATTTATTGCCACAATAAACAAGACAGAGGATGTCTCGCAGGAGCTTGAAATCCGGCGAGGAAAACAGGCATGCAAGCAGGTTTCTATACACAGAGTGCCAGGCGCAACGGGAAGGGAAGGTACCGGGGTGGGTGGTACAGGCGCGGGGCCTGGGGCCTCGGGCAGCCGTCAGGGAAGAGCCTCGTTGGTGGTGGTCTGCCAGGCGCATGCTCGAGGCCGCCCAGGCACCGCCCCCTCAGCCAGAAGCACTACCCACCGTTCGTTCCTTCAACAAACGCTTATTTTTACCTCCCATCTCCAATATAGCTGGGAGCACCTTAGCTCCCCAGGAAGTCTTCCGTGCTCCATCCTAAGCTCCCTCTGTACCTTCTATATTTTCAGGAAAGTAACTATTTTGCCATATGACATGGTTTGCTTGCACATCTGTCTTTCCAACAGAGTGTGAACCTTCTGAGGGCCGGAAGGATGGATTCTTGTTTAATAATATGCGTGATTCCTTCTACTCTTCTCCATCGCCACTGACTACCCGCAGTGAGCCGTGTCATCGCCCGGCGGGATTCCTGCAGCTCTTTTTAGAGGGGCCTTCCTGTGAGCGTGGCTGCCATCCTCCTAGCATTCTCCATGGAGAGTGTTCGTGAGAACATGGAAATCAGATCATGATCTCCAGTGCTTAAACATCCCCCAGTGGCTTTGCCCTGTACTTGGAATAAACCGTAAACACCGTTCCCTGTGAGATCTGGCGCCTGCCAGGCTCTCTGACTTCATCTCTTGCCACCCCTCCCCTATTCTCCCACCCCGTGAGTCTCTCCTGTAGCGCTTACACTATTTCTGATTATGTTTTTCTGTTTACTTGTCCAATCTTTCTTTTCCACTAGACTATCAGAATGCGATAATCCAAGGGTTCTAGCAACCCTGCAGGTGGACAGATAAGCCCACTGGCCCACTATGAATGTGTTCACGCATCACACTTCCCATGTTGGGCATCACGTTGCACACATGCTAGCAAGAGATCCTATGATCTCATCTGGCTGGTTCCCTAAAACAGAGCTGCCTGGTCTAAGATCTGAAAAAAGGCAGGCCAAGATATTGATCCACGAAGTGACAGTGACTTTACGTGACCTGTTCTCCACTCTGTCTCCAGTGGTTAGCTTGGTGCCTGATGCTTAATAAATGTCCAATAAATCTATGCTCAGTGACTGAGTGAAGGGCAGGAATAGATGGCTCTAGAGCACTGTGTCCCAAAGTTTAAAAAGGATAATACTTACTCTGCACAAGGGGATAAGTTGAAGAGGCTGCTCATTGTGGAGGCAAACTGTCCAGAATCTTCTTATTTGCTTCAAGGACTTCATGGATCAATATCTTGGCCTGCCTTTTTTCAGATCTTAGACCAGGCAGCTCTGTTTTAGGGAATCAGCCAGATGAGATCATAGGATCTCTTGCCAGCATGTGTGCAACATGATACCCAACATGAGAAGTGTGATGCGTGAACACATTCATAGTGGGCCAGTGGGCTTATCTGTCCACCTGCAGGGTTGCTAGAACCCTTGGATTATTGCATTCTGATAGGATTAGCCTGGGGCAGTGTGGTGAACTGAGGGGGTGCTGCCCTGCTGTGGAGACTGTGGTCTACAGACAGCCTCCAGCCACCAGGTCCTTCCGGAACTGCCTTGGCTGCAGAGCCACCTTCCAGAAGTTGCGCCCTTCTCTGGGCATCAGGCATTTGGTGACTGAGCAAGGTGGCGACAGGGCGGGGGGCGGGGTATGAAAGTCCCGCAGACTCAGGCAGGTCAGCTTTGACAGGCAGGCCTGCTGAGGCTGTTCCACAAGACCGTTCCCTCCGCCAGTCCTTCCCGGCCTTTCTCGGGCGTCGGTCCCTAATATACATCTTATATTGCCACTGGTTGCACCTCACGGTCTGCAGCTTTTGAGTCCATTTGCCGACGACCCACCCTGTGACAGGCAGCTTCACAAAGCACAGACTGACTGCAGGATTGGGGAAAGCTGAGGGGAAAGGCCTCAGAGGTAGTTTGGTGTTTTAGAAGGTGGGAGGGTGGGGAGTAAGCGGAGCTCCTGGGGCAGGGGAAAGTGACCTGGCAGAGAGAGGACTGGGTAGGAAAAGTCAAGGCAGAGCCAGTGGGTGGAGCACTTTAGAACCCATTATGAAGCATTTTGTGCTGGGTGCTAACTGGGAAGGTGAGAAGATTCAAAACTGCAGAGCACAGGGCTCTTGCAGCCATTTACCGGAAACAGCAGAGACCCTTTTCTCTGTCACTCACAGCTCTGTGGTCTGTGTGTGTCTTTTCAGTGGGCTCCCTGCTACTGCACGTGGAAGACGGTGAGCTGTAAATCACCCACGTGAGGAGGGTGGAGATTGCCTCTGAGGCAAAGGGTGAGCATGGGCAAGTGTTGGGGCCTACATCTATGTCTACGGGAGCCTCCTCTGCTTTAAAGGAGCCCTTCCAGGCTTATTTCGACTTAAAATCTGAATGTACCAGTTACTCTAGCTGTCCACTTCTGCCCCGCCCCCGCTCGCTCCTGAGCCCAGCTCCCTAGACAGTGACAAAGCACGGGTAGGCGCCGGCCACTCCATCAAAGGCATGCTTACACTTCAGGGATCTCCTATCTTTCAAAATTTTTAGTTGCTTGAGATAAAAGGTCAGAATCACCCGGTCCCCTGGACGGCCCCGAATGCATTTACCAACGGCATGCTGTCATTCAGGGTTAGGGACCTTTTCTTTCCATTTTCTCACCAGGCCTTGTAAAAAGGCTCAGTCCGCTGCGTTTTCATTTCAAAGATCAGAAAAGAAACGGCACTCTTGACATTCTCTTTAATTCTGCTAGAAGCTTATGAGAAAAGCCATCGGGCAGAAATAAATAAATACCGAGGCAACTTGATACCCCGTGTCTGAGGCAAACATCTAGGTTGTGACTTGTGATTCGGATCCCGACTCATTTTGACCCTGGTTTCTGACACATTGCGGCTTAATTTCTGTGGTCACAACATGAAACATCCACTTTATAATGGTCGATTATAGGTCCTTAAATTTTAGACCGGCTTCACAAAATGGCTGCGTCAATCAGAGCAGGCCGGCAGACATATTTTATTCAGCTTAAGTAATTTAAAAAAAAAATCCAGAGTGAATATTTTAGAATTCACAGAATTCACGAGTTCCAGCTTCTCTTGGGAACAGGAATCTCGGGCAACCCTGCCCTGGCTTTCCCACGCGGAGGTGGTGCTGCTTAGGTGAGGCTGCCTTCCCCCAGTGGCGCTACGCGTTCCTTCTCTGCTTCCGTCCCCACCACTACCTGTAATCTGCTTAGACTCTCAGGCAGGCTCATCATCACATGGGTCCTGTTGTTTTGCTTAGAGTAGAGCCAAGGCTCCTTGTCTCTAGCAAAAATTGGAAAACAAAAGATACACTACAAGGACAGATATTTCTCACACTTTGCCTACTCACTCACTGGCTTTATCTTTTTGGCCCCATAGAGAGAAGGGGCCTTTGCTCGAGGCTGTTTGGTGCTGTGTTTACACAGCTCAGCACCGAACGCTGCACCTACCATGGTGATTGGCACATAATAGGCACTCGGTGATACCTGTTCGGTGAATAAACGAAAGAGCAAAGCAAAGTATTAATAATATGCTATGTGCTTTGCCAAGTATATTTGCTGATTATGTGCGTATGTGTATTTAATGAAGAGGGGTAGAACTTTATATCAGAGGTCACCACAGGAACACAATCTTGGAGATTTAGATCTATGTAACCCCTTCCACATTGCACTGTAAGTGAGGGGCCAACTGATTTCCCTACAGTGATTTTTTGGGGGATCCCCGTTTTCATTCTGAGGGGTTGAGGCCAGGATCCCCAAACATTCTTAGTTTGAAATATATGAGGAAGACATATATGGCTGATCTCATGAAAAACAACAGCAACCTCTGGCTTCCAAGTGAGTGACCTAAAGAAAGGTTCCATGTTCTGGTTGTGGTTTTTTAGGTAAAGGGTTTACTAGGGTCTCCCCACTGGTTTCCATGATGGGAGGGTGGTGCTGCTCCGGAGTTGTTCTTTGTCCCTCTCACTGGGGCCATGGCTCTACAGACTTGCTGCAGGGCTTCATGCTTTGGAAATCAAGTGCATGCAAAGGGACTTGCAGTTGTGTGGGAACAAAGTCCTTGGGGCAGGAAAATGCGCAGCTGTGTGAGGATGAGAATGTTTGCTTTGCACAGCTCATGGGGCCCTATGTGATGGCTCTGGGCAAACAGGGGATGGAAAGAAATACTTGGACATGATTTGCCAGTTTGACCAGCACTGCTCTCCTCCCCTCACGCCTCCTCCTGGGTCCTCCTCTGCCCTCTGGACATCAGTACTACTCTGTTTCCAAGGGAGCAGCCCAAGGACCTCAGCTGACCCTTGGTCTCTCAGCACCAAATGGCAGTTCTTTGTCATCACCATCCTCCCCCTTTGCATTCTTAAAAGAAAGGAAGGGTCTGGCTTCTCTCACAAGGAAGGCAGTTGGAGGCCCAAACACCCTCTGGTCCCTGCACAGGGGCCCTAGAGGGGCCTTGGTTCCAGTGTTCAGCTCCGTGCCCGAGCCAGGGCTCCCTTGCCAGACCTCCCCTCCGCCCAGGGTCTGCGCACGCCCGCTGATGGACCCTTCCAGGTCCAGCCCTGCCAACCCCTCTGTGCTCCAGCAGTGGGGTGCAGCTTTGTAAATTGGCCACTCCCTGGTCAATGACTCAACACTGCTGCCCACAGAACCACTGCAGAGGATCAGCAGAGGAGGGGGTCTATGTGGAAATGGAAAGGGAGAGTTGAAGCAGGAATGAGCAGAAGGGCCTGGTGGTCAGGATCTGGGGCCAGGTTTCCTGGGCTCAAATCCAGCTTGGCCACTTACATGCGACTTCGAGTGAGTTTCTGAACTCTCCTGGGACCTAATTTCTTTATCTGTAAAACGAGGAGAGTAAGAGTGCCATTCTCCTGTGAGGATTCAATGAAGCAATACATGTATGCTTAAGTAGCGCCAGACACAAATGTGAGCTATGTTATTGCACACCTGCTCCTCAGCAGCACTGAAGGTGTGTGTGAGCGCGTGTGTGGTGTGCGTGCCTTATTTAGTTTATGGCATGGGGAGAGAGAAAAGAGACTGCTTTCCGCTACCTGCTCCCTGGTAGCGACTGCAGGCTAGGGAGAGGTTGGGAGATTAGGGTCTGTCTGTCGTTCAGTCCAGGTCGTGGTGGCTGGGCCCTGGGGGAAAAGATGGCCACATGTCAGAAGCTCGCTCCCTTATCCTTGGGAGGCTCCCTTATCCTTGGGAAGACTGCCTGGCCCAAGGGAATTTTAGGGCGATGTCTTTCTTGGCCCGGACTCAACCTCCTGCGTAATGGGTCAGCCCGTTTTCCGACTCTCAGCCCTGATCTCAGGAAGTTGTCATCCAGAAACAGGAGATAGCCTGGCTGAGGCAGTTCATTCAGCTTTCACACAGCTGTGATTCAGTGGGGCTTGGACTGAATCGGGGCCTTTCTCACTCTGACTTCCACTCGGTCATCTGCCCTTTTTGTCCCTGGGGGAGCCACAACCAAGGGTTCTCACTCCTGTTCCCCCTTGACGGTCTTAGAAGTGTTTGGAGGTAGCAGTCAGACCTTTCTCCAGGGCCCCGGGCTCGGATCTCCAGCTACCTTCCCGGCATCTCTGCTTGGACGTCCACAAGACCTCTCAGGCTCGCTGTGCCCAAACTCCGATGCTGCTCTTCCTCCCCGGGTTTGTCAGCTGCTGACAGCCCTTGGGAGTCATGGCCTCTCTCCTCCTCACCTTGCAGCCCAGCCACCTGGAAGTCAGGCTGGCTCCTCCTTCAAAGGATCTCCCACTTCCCAGCCGCCCCCCCCCCCGTCCAGACACCACCCCATCTTGCCTCGACGGTTGCAGCCGTCTGCTAGTGGCTGATTCTCCACAGGTAGCCTGCTGTTAAAACCGAGGTCCCATCACCTCACCCGTCCGCGCAAAACCCTGCGATGGCTCGCATCTTGCATTGAAAGGCAAAGCCCTTTCAGGCCTGTAGGTCCTTCCCGCCTGGCCCCCATCACCTCTCATCTGCCTCCTCCTGCCCTCTCCCTCCTTCCACTCCTGCCACCCTGAAATGCATTTAAAAATTACTATAGGAAAATAAAATCCATTCTGTGGAGCTCCATTGCTATTTCTGGGATTACAGGGTGTCTAACAGAGAGAGGACAGTAAGAATTATTTGCAATCATGACCGTGCAGCCTGCAAGACCTGGGAACAATGTGGCGTAGTTATGACCGGTTATGTTCATGGCTCAGTACTTACGATGTCAGGGAGTGAACCGAGTCCAAGTCAAGAGATCTTTCAATAATAGCAGCTGAAAGAAAAACGTTTTCTGGTTAGCTCTTAGTTACCCAGAAAATTAGCCAGAGAAAACCTCATTCCCTAAGAAGACTAGGAAATGGATATTTTCCCTATGCTAATATGGAATGGTTTACTTTTGTGGTACGGTGCATTTCTTCATTAACCTTCCTTGGTCAGTAGCTCTCCTTGAATGTTGTCCTTAGGAAATCATACCTAAGGAGCCCTCACTTACAGAACCTCCCTTTCCATTTCTCCCCTCATCCCCATCTCTAAATGGTTTGACCAGTCTGAGCACTGATGCTCCCTGGGCACTGCAGAGAGCTCACAGGGATGCTGCAGTAGATTTTTTTTTTGAAGAAAACAGGAATACTCGACATCTGTTCGGTATTGTATGAAAACCTAATTTTTGATTATGCTGTCTTCCTGTAATGATGGCATATTTTCCAAAGCTGGGTTTTTGACAGTTGTTGAGATAAAAAGCAAGTACCATGCAAAAAAATCAGTATGGAGTAGAAAATGAGAGTGGCCATGTGCAATCAGATTCCAAGATCGGAGAAGTCACGCAATGCCCACTGGGCACACACGTTCTGTTAGAGAGTCATTGTGGCTATTCAAGAATGAAATAAAAGCATTATTTTTTTCTTTCACTTTCTATAGTAAGTTGTGACATAATCTGTGACACAGAGATGCAACACAATATCTATTAAGTTATTTGGATATAACTAATAAATGAAAACCGTACAGACTTCTTTTGGCATAGGGGGGCACCATGAAAAATTCACTGAGACACTAAGGGTGTCATGAACTGAGAAAGTTTGGGAACGTCTTGTATAATTCACATATTGGCTCAGATGGAGAAATTTGGAGTCATCCTTGATTCCTCCTTTCTTCGTCCTCCCAAATCTACTAACCAATCATTAAGTCTTCTCGGCGCTATCTTCCAAAAAATGTCCCGAATCCACTCTTCTGTCTGCTACAGCTGTGCCCATCCTTGTCTGGCCCACCGTCTTCTACAGCCACTTCTGTGCTTTGGCTCTGGCTCTCCGATAATCCATTCTTCAGAGGCAATCTTTTGTTTTTTATTTTTGTTAAGATTTATTTATTTATGTTAGTGTGTACTGCATGTGCGCGAGCAAGCACTCATGGGGGAGGGGCAGAGAGAGAGAGGGAGAGAGGGAACCCCAAGTAGACTCCCCGCTGAGTGCAGAGCCTGATGTGGGGCTTTATCTCACGACCCTGAGATCATGACCTGAGCTGAAGTCAAGAGTCGGACTTTTAACTGACTGAGTCACCCAGGTGCGCCTCTTATCATGTTTTATTTTCTTCATAACATTTGTATCATGTTCATTGATCTATATATTGGAGAATAGACACTTTGCTCCCTTTTATTTGCCACTATATTCCTGCCACCTAGAATAATGCCTGGCACATAGGAGGAGGTTAATAAATGTTGGTTGAAATGAATAAATGAATGATTATTTCATGTAGTGGTAACTTTGGATCATTCACTGATGGCTCCTAATGGAGGAGATCCAGAATTTGTGTCCAGAGGGAGGAAGTCAGTAATTTCATTTATTGATATATATGTATATAAATATACATTTATATACAAAATATGTTTTACAAACCAGGTAATCTAATCAAGGGTTTCCTATATTCTTTGGAAAGAGACAACTGATTGCTATCCTATATGAATTCCATTTTTCTTAGCAATACTGATAGTTTATCATAAGTTTATATGGAATTGGCTAATGAGCAACTCCATCATTTCATTTGTTATTTTTCATAACAGGCAAGCTCCTCCTACCCTTTTTCTTTCCTTTTTTTCAAATTAGGAAAATGAGATAAAGATGTAAAAAGGAACATTTCTACAACAACAGCATTTTTAAAAAATTTTTGAGGGAGAGAGAGCGAAGCAAAAGCACACAAGCCGGGGGGGAGGGGCAGAGGGAGAGAGAGAAATAGGCTCCCTGCTGAGCAAGGGGCCCGATGCGGGACTCGGTCCCAGGACTCGATCCCAGGACCCCGGGATCATGACCTGAGCTGAAGGCAGACCCTAACCAACTAAACCACCCAGGCGCCCTCTATAATGACAGCATTAAACAAAACGGGAATGCCACGATCCAGCCTAAACCCACCGATGTGTTTTCTTAGACAATACCAAATCCAGAAGGGTGCACAGTGCAGAGGCAGCAGGATCAGGTGTGGAATTATTCAACATCTCTGGCAAACAGCAGTGGGGATTAAACAGAGATTTCGTTAATGAGATTAATTCTGAAATACTAAGAGCAGTTTGGCATATCCCCCAAGACACAAAGCATTTGTATCTATATAAGATTAAAGGAGCTTTCACCCAAAGCAATTTTATTTTTCAACATCAAAGCGATGCTTCGGAGGGGTTGCTTGAAGGAGGCACACTGCAACAAATGTGGGGAGTGCCAAAGCTTCTTTTTATAAAAGACAGTTTGCTTAGCCAGGAATTGTATCTGTGGTTTTCACTACCCAGGACATGACAGAGCATTGTTCTTTGAATCACAGGATTATGGAGAAAGGGAGACCAGGGGTTAGGAATCAGGTGGACAAACATCCCAGACAGGTGGTTACCCAATGATAACCTTGGATTTCCAGGGATGGGAGCTCAGTGCTTCCCGAGGCAGACTGTTGAACAGCTCTTATAAATAATAAATAATGGAGATGATGCTGGTAATAATGATAAGAAAGATCACAGCCACCATTTCTATGTGCGAGACAGTGTATTTAGCACGTAACAAATTACACAGACTTCTGTTAAATTTTCCTGCCTTGGGCTTTCAACCAGCCTTCCCAGGTCTGCTTTCTGGAGCTACAGCAGATTTGCTCTATGGCAAGCTACAAATATTCGAAGGTAGCTCTTATGTACTGTACCTTTTGTTTTGTTGAGGTTTGTTGTTGTTGTTTGTTTTGTTAAACTTAAGTTTATTTTTTGAACCTGATAACAAGTATTTATGTGGATCAGTATTAAATTTCATCTTGCTGACTCTGCCTCACCCTTCCAGGCTGCTCAAATATTTGTGAATCTGATTCTATCATTCAGTGTATTAACCAGACCTTACAAAATGTGCTACTGAAAATGATAAGCTTCCAAGGATCCCTCCTATCCCTTTTCCCTTTCTTGCCACAAACAATTATTGACTTTCTATGTGCCAGATACTGTCAGGCATTGGGGCTGCAAGATTGCATAAGGCACATCTATAGACCTCAAGATCTTGCTGAAGCAGGGAAACAAAAATAAATTAAAATACAGTATAGTATGATTATGTCATGAATGAAAACAGAGGAGGAGAATGTCAACATAAGCTGGAGGAGTATCTATAAGGGGAGAGAATAGGGAGCTAGGAGAAGGCCAGCACTATGCCTGGCTTCTAGGGTGTGGGGCCCGTGAGGGAAACAGGCAGTCCCCACTTAGTTAAAAGCAAGCCAAAGGATATTCTGGGGTTGGGAGGGCAGGAGGTAGGCTTTAGCCACCATAAAGACGTGGAAAGAGAATTTTGTGTAGAGGGAGAAGGTTAGGGGAGCTTATTTATGAAAGGGGCTATGCTATTACTGCTCAATGATCTAGCCCCTTCTCTCTCCTACCTGCCTGACCAGTGCGGCTCCTCCCTTCCCCCTGGTGGCCCTCCCTACAAAATCAAGTTCAGCTGGCTTGGCAAGTGGGTTTAAGTTTTCACATGGTGGACTGGAAAAGCAGGGAGCATTCTAGATTTCAATGAGAGACCAGAGACAACATGAGAGAGGAAGAGGGTCATTTGTGACTTGAAAATGCCGTTAGTCCCTGGAAAAGCTGGTAAGACCAAGAGCAAAGGGACTTTTTGTTATGATTGTTTGTGGGGTTCTTCCAAGCATAATTTACCCAGTCATTTAGAATGTAAATATGAAGACCGGAATCCTCAGGAATCCAGGCAGAATGGCTTGTCTGCTCATGTTGCAGAGCCCAGGATGGTGCTGGGAGCCTGCAAGCTCCCAGGTGTTAGGAATTTTGCAGGACAGAGAACAGGTGACCTTGGTAGACCCATTATCCCATGCTGGCTCCACGGCCTGTTCAAAGAGGGATACCTCTGAGGGAGTGGGCACCCCTCCCACCCTGGAAAGAAACCTGAGCAGCCAACAGACTATGAGGTCCGGGAATTAGTGGGTTCTGGGCCATTGTTAGGTGCTGAATCTCTCCCCCCGTGCCTCCTGGAATCCCTGCAACTCTGTAGAAAGTTGGTGGCACAGATGGATTTGGTTAGGGCTGAGGAGCTCCACCTGTTGTCAGTTCAGAAAACTATAGCCTGGGTGAAGAGTGCTGATAGTGTTTATTGCCTTGGAGACAGTGTCTGTGAACACGGTTTGGTGCAGCTCCCCAGGCACCGAGTGCAAGGCTGTAGCCGCACACACAGACCTGAGCTCCAAAAGCAAGGCTTTAAGCTGGGAACCAACACAGAGCTGAAGTTTATCACAACCACTGGTGCAAACAGGACTGGGGGGCTTCAGTGGATTTGGAGCTGAGAAGGAAGTTCAGGACCTGGGGTGTGCTGCTTAAGCATCGCTTTCTTCTAAAAAGGTAAAGGCATCAATCAAAAAGGGCAAGATCTTTGGAGTTGGGAGGGATTAAGTACCAAAAATGAAAAAAAATCTTTGTTATTAAGCCAGTACTCCCTAGTTTTGGTGGGACGGGAGGAACAGAGGCAGATGCTTGTAGACTAAGAGATTGTGAACCACACCACCTGGAGTGAAGAGGCCAGGTAAACCCTTAAGGTCTCAGGAGAAGGCTAGCAATTGCTTGGTGAGGACTCATGGCTGCCAAGGCCTGACTTAACCGTGTATTTCAGGCCAACTACAATAGCAGAGAAGGGGAGACGGGGCTTCACCTGTCTTATGGTGCAAGAGAAGCCTTTGACTTTGGTAGATAGTTGTGTGTTCCCTCCAAGAAGATAACGAAGAGAGATTTGGTTTTAGAACAGTCTGGCTTATTCAGAACATTCCCTGCAGGGCTCATGCATTTCCTGTCAATCCTTGACGTGCCTAGTGGGACGCCCTGTTGACAGTGTTACATTACTGAACAGGAAGAGTCAACTTGGGAGGAGGCCAGGGGTTTGGCCAGTCACGGAGGGCCTCTAGTCCGAGGGCGCACCGCCAGCATCGCGGAGCTGGGACTGAGGGCTCAGTCTACTGACCTGGGCGTCCCCCTGGGCCATGCTTCTGTCTCCTCTTGGTTTTGTACTTCAGTATATTCATAGTCCCACGTTCTTTTCTGGAGGACGCGGTACACGTTTCCGCCAACTCTTCCAGAGCGGGATTTCTTTTTTGGGGTCCTAGCCGGCTTTTGAATTTCCTAAAGCACGTTAGAGTCTGTTCATCCTCCAAAACCCAACTCCAAATCACCTCCTCTGTGAAGACACGACAACACCCCTGGAAGGAGTGTCCTCCCCGCCCGGCCCCCCAGGTCTCTCATGCTCTTTCCTTCCCGCACTGTTGGCGTTTATGTGCAGGTCTGCCTCAGCCACGGGGGTCGGCAGCCTCGCACAACTCCTGGCACGTGGCAGGATTTCCACAGAAGTCCATGGGCTGGATAGACGGCCCATAGGAAGAAAAAGCACACGGGAGCCTGGCGGCACATCCAGTTTGTCGTTTGCAGCCAAGAGATGGGCTGTCGGTGGGCTCAGACAGCAGAGCCGCCGCTGTGGGAGAGAATGGAGTGGGTCGCAGGACCTTGGGTGTGGCTGGGGTGCTGCCAGCAGAGGCTCGGAAACTCTGGCTGGAGCCAGCAGAGAAGCCTCATTTCCGTGAAGGAACCGGGCATTCCCCGGGGCGCTGCAAATGCAAGCCCTTTTGTTGCCGTGGTTATTGTCCTTATTGTCCTCCGAAGCTGTTTCCAACCTCTCTAACTTGGCAGGATTCTTGGCTGAAGGCAGCTGCCTTCCCTCTTGGGCGAACAACTGGTTGGCCTGCTTTGCTGAGTGCCATGGTGCCATGCCCAGGCTGACCTGGATCCACATTTAAACATACAGGGGACGGGCACAGAAGTCAAAAAAGTCTTTTGACCTCCCTTAGACCACTCAGTGCAATTTTTAGCAGTATCGACACCCCAGTGTACTCATTAAAACGTGATTTCCTAAGGCCCTTTTGATAAATAGAATTTCAAATGTATTCAGGTTTGAACTTCCAAGGAGGGTGGGCTTGAGCAGGCACTTGGCACAGAACACCTGTGGGACACCTGCTACTGGCCGCGCCTCACCATCTCCTTGGAAGGTTAGGACCACTGTTTCTCTCCCATTTTAGAGGTGGGGGAACACAGGGAAACCGAGTGATTTGCTTTGGGTCACAGGACCCGGTTTGTGGGCAAGGCTGGAATTTTCCATCTGGGGAATTCTTTTTTTTGCTTAGTTGTCCGGGCTATGGAGGCCGAAAAGGAAGAAGTCATAACCATCTACACCCACAGTTTTTCCTTAAGCCCAGAGCCAGAGGCTCCCTGGAGCGGAAGGGGCCCAGTCCTCCTCCGTTTGTAGGAGTATCGGGAGCCAACACCGCCCTTCACAGAGGGTAGAGCGGAGCGGGGCACAGAAAGGCCAACAGTGAGGGGCACAGAAAGGGGAGAGAAACAAAGAAGGCTGCGTGTGGATGCTTCTTTGTTTCCCGCACTCCCCACACCGCTCCCCGCTCCCTGCGGCCCGGCGGGGGCTGGCGGAGGGAGTCGGGGCCCCTACACACACGGCGGCTAACGTGGATGCCTTACCCAAGCCAGACAGCCGCGCAGATCCAGCGCAAAGGTCCCGGGCCGCCCGCGTTTGTTTTAGCTCCTCGTTACCATGGAAACGGTGCCCCCACGTCTGCTGGCGCCCCCCCCGGGGTGGGGGTGGGGCTCGGTTCCCAGCCTCCGCGCCTTCTCCGCTTCCCTCCTGCAGCCTCTCTGGTCCCCGGGGAAGTGCTCAGGCCACGTGGCAGGGGCTGGCCAGAAAGTTGGGTTCATTATTTGCGCCGGGGCCCTCTGCGTCAGGTGTCCCCCAGATGGAACCTGTGGATCGCAGCCCGCTAGCGTTCGCAGGAGGCTGGCGCCCGCCCTACAGCCGATCCACCCTGGGCTCCTGAGCAGGGGAGGGCCGGCCAGCCCTGGGTGGAGTTTTCTTTTGTTGTGTTATTTATTTAATGGTATGGAATTTTTATAGCTCTGTTTTCCTAGGGGCTAGCTTTCCGGAATGCTGGGGCCCAGGGCTGGGCTTGGTGGGCGGCTGCTTAGATGGAAGGGAGGGCGGTCTGTGGCTCCCAGAGGGGACAGCCTTGAACTCAGTCTGGTCTGCCTATGGGCTACAGCGTGGGTTGGGGGGGAGGTCAGAGGGGAGCGCGTATTCCCACGAGGCACCCTGAGTAGCTTCACCTGGGCTGGTTCCCGGGACAAAGACCCCTAAGCAGCCTGGAGGACAGGAGCCCCTCTGCTCTCTCTCGGGTACTTTTGGGGGGTCCGGGGAGGCCGGCCACTACCCGGGGAGGACAGAAGAGGAAACCGGTGAAGTTCACATGTTCTGGCCCCTCTGAGTGGATTTGCGGGAAGTGGCAGAGTGGCCCAGTGGGGCAAGGAGGCCTGGTCAGTTGTCACAGACAGTTCAGAAGAAAAGGTCCTGGATCTTTGAAATTTTAGTGATTTTCTGTGATTTCTTTTCCCATTCTAAATATTCACGTTTGCGCCTAAATTTATAATTTTAAATTCTTTTTCTCAAAGAGGGTTCCTCATATTGTGTAAGTTCGGGTATCCGGCAAACCCTGAAGAATCATGAGTACCCGGTTTGTAGCAGCAGTGTTGTGGGGTTCTTCACATTGTCTCTCAGGGGCCTCTGTCAGGCTTTGGTAAGGGGGTGGGAATGACAGAAAAGGGGATTCCAGTGTGAAGGGCATGGGACACAGAGAAAGTTGGAGAAAAGTTGGAGAAAAGCAGAGGAGAGGCCAAGTCCATACCAGTATTATGGGGTGACAGCAGGAGCCTCAGGGAGTCGGAGAAACAGGAAGACAGAGGACGCAGCCAGGTGTCCAAAGGGCTCTTTGGATCTTCGGTTCCTAAGGATCTCTTGAAGCACAAAGGAAGAATTTGAGGCTAGGTTATTACAACAGTGTTTGGTGAGGGGGGACTGGTCAAAGACTACTTTGAGAGCTCTACCTCTCAGTTATTCTCAGGACCAGTGCCAAAGGCTGGCTTAGGGGAACATTTGTAGCCCCCTATAATGTCCACCTAGCTTACCTGAATCTAACTAAAGAGCGTACTTAGTTTTCACACGCAGCTTCAAGGCAGTTTCCTAGCCCACTACTCCTAAGGGTCTGTGGCCCCTCAGGTCCTGTCCCCCAGAAATTTCAGTGTCCATTCTCCCATCTGGTGACTATAATCTCTTTGTCATGGTAAGGCCTTCCACAAGATGGCGCTCACAGGTTTTTAAATTTTTTAATGTTGACTGATTCATTGCTTTGTCAGTATCTTATGAATGCCTACTATGTGCTGGCATTGTTCCAGGAGGTGTTGGGCATACAGACTGGACAAGACAAACTAAGTATCTCGTTTCAAGGAATTTAAAAAGGCTGTGATTTTTATACTTTCAGAGGTAAAACCCAACTGTGATATAGGTTTCCCATTTATGTTGCTGATACGTACTTTTGAAAGTTCTGCTACATTTCTGACAGTTGCGCAATTTCCCCCCCCCCTCCAGACTACTATGGCCCGGAGGGATTATAGACACTTTTATTATCTGGCTGGGGAAAAGATTAACTGATATCTGTCTGTGTAAGCCACTGTCCGAGATCCATCCTTTTGCCAGGAAAACCCTACATCTTAACTTGGACAATTCCAAATTGTTGCTAAGCACCAGCTTATCATTCTGAGGTCTCAGCTTGGGATTTGTCTGCCCATTTGAGTAAATTCACAGTTCGTTTTTTAAAGAAAATTTTGGGTAGGTCTTTCAGGTATTCTGGTGACCTGCCTCCAAGTAAGAATGAGATGGGCTTTGATCTGGGTGAGAATTTACCAGACTCTTTTTCTGCTTTTCATAGCAAAATGTCAACCCTGCCACCTAACCATCTACCCTGGAGAATAAGTACAATTAGCTCACTCTTGCCAAAGGCAAATCTGAAACATAGTTGAGAGAAAACGGATAGGTCCGTATAACTTCCCATTTCTCCAGCTTCAGGAAGCTCTATCCTTGTTCTAAGTTAAATTCCCAAAGGCAACATGTTTTAGGACATTTACTATACTAATTTGGCTGTTTCCAGAGATACCTTCACTTAGCTATAATTGAAGAGTGTGACCTTGATTTTTATCTTAGACTGAAAGAAAATGGTCATAAGACAAATATTTCTGCATTTTGGCAAAAAATAATTGTTAAAGACCTCGCTCACTTTACCATTCCATATATTTTATGTGAGGATTCGTGAGGACCCCAGACTCATACCTGACCACCTGCCTGATTTGACATTTCTACTCGGGGTGTCCAGCAGGCATATCTTATTTAACAGACCCCGAATCAAACTCCTGATCTTCCTCTACCATCTGCTCTCACCTCAGTCATCTCTGTCAACAGCAACTCCACTGCTCACGCCAAGCATCTTAGAAACATCTTGGCCTTTCTCTCTCCCTCTCTCTCACCTCACATGTAACCAGTTATCAAATTCTGTTGCCTTTACCTTTAAGACACACCCAGAATCTGGTCACTTCTCACTACCTTTTCTTGTCTGGAAAATTCCACAGACTCTTTCACTGGTCTCTCTACTTCTGCGTGTTGTTCCTCTACATCTATACTTGACATAGCATCCAGAATGATCCTTTAAAATATGTCAGGTCATGACCCTTCTCTGCTCAAAATCATCCCATGACTTTCTGCTTATTGGAAGGAAAAACCCCAGATCTCCACTTCCGGTCCCCCCAACCCCTTCTTATCTCTGACTTGATGTAATCATAATCGGCTCCTGATTCACCTCATGGGAGCCACACTGGTCTCATGTGCTCCCATCTCAAGGCCTGTGTCTGGAAGACTCCTCCCCAGATAGTCGCATGGTCTCTCCCTCATACCCTCATGTCTCTCCTCGGATGTTACCTTCTGGGGGCGGGGGTTCCTTACCACCCTATTAAAACTGCAGACCCCTCTCTGAGCTCTCTTTATTCTCTGTTCTGTTTTCATTTTTCTCTATAGCACTTACTACTGTCTGATGTACTATATATTTTACTTATTGTCTGTCTTGCTCTACTGAAATGGAAGTTCACCAAGGGCAGAAGTTTTTATCTGTTTGCTTTGTTTTATTCACTTCTGTATCTCACCACCTAGAACACTGCCTGGGACAGAGTAAGTACTCAATAGATATTTATTGAATGAATGATTAAATTCTACGAGAATTAGTGTCAGAAGAAAAAGCATTTTTTTTTTTTTTTGTCAAAGTTGTACTTCCTTAGGCGATGTGATTGATGTTATACACTGTAATTTACTTTTTGGTTTTACTACTGGGAAGCTCAAAGTCAAATATAGAAGGAATTACAAGTACTGTTTCCCCCACGGTCTCTAACATAGTAACCTCCCCCTCTGTATGTTTTTCATTGCCTTCACTTTTAACTTTTATTTGAACAACTTTGTGCATATCTATGCCTTCAGGTAGTGTTCATGGAACTTTAGACTTCCACGAGATATTTGCCAAGGGAATGCACCATATACTGTTTTAATCCTTTTTGGAAATAAGTGGGATATGAATAATAAATTATTCACGATGTGTGGTATGACTGAAAAGTAATGAGCTAGAGAGAAATAGATGATGAGGAGGAGAAGACAGGAGAGGAGAGGAGGAGAGGCCTTGCCCCCCAGTGGTTGCCCCCCTCCCTCCCCCGGCCGGGGCCAGCGCATGATGGGGCATCCATGCCGGGATCCTCTGTCAGTGAGAGGGGAGAGATGAATAATTTTGCCAGGACAACAGGCATGAACTGGGACAGTCTGGGCAAACGAGGACAAATGGCCACTTTAGCAATGGTTAATATTTATTAAATAGTAAATATTTAATTTAGGTTCAAGTTCAGAAAAGTGAGCATCAGGAAAGTTGATTCCTTTGTCAGGATCCACCAAAGCCACTGACAGTGTCACAGGCACCGAATGAAGACATGTTCCTGTATGTTAGGAAAGAGTTAAATAAGCAGGTTGACACTCTCTCTCTCTCTCTCTCTCTCTCTTTTTAAGATTTTACTCATTTGAGACACAGATACAGAAAGAGAGAGAGAGCATGAGCAGGGGGAGAGGCAGAGGGAGAGCAGGGCTCGATCCCAGGACCCTGGGATCATGACCTGAGCCGAAGGCAGACGCCTAACCATCTGAGACACCCAGGCGCCCCAAGCAGGTTGACTTGTGTTGCTACTTCTCAACATGGGCTTTGGCAGAGAGGTTTGAAACCCTGGAGAGCAGGAAGGAGTGACTCCATTAGGATCAAGGGGGACCAACCAGACAATACCAAATAGGGTACCTTCCAGGAGCCCAGAGAAATCCTGCTGCTGTTCACTTACCCCTGAAGCAGGGACAGAGGTGAACGAGGCTCTCTCGTGCCGGTGGGGGGTCCCCTGCCTTCTGTCCCTTCCTCATCCCCAAAGCTGGGATTTCTGTCCTCTCCAGCTCCCAAGATCACCTATTCAAAGGCCAGTTGCTTAGGTTTTTGGTGGCAATAAGAGCTCCTAGAGCCTAACTGAAGTTTTTTGGAAATAACATCTACTCCTCTCTAGCATCTGCCGTGGAGCCGCGTGAAGGCAGGCTGCTCATATGCTTTTCACAAACCCATGCCGGTGGTTTTTC